CTTTATCTAAGTGTCTTAACACTCCTGGAATACCTAGGGTGGAGCCTAGAGTAGCACTATTGAGTTGCCTACAGAATGTTAGTATAGTTACATTGAACCAAATAAAACATCTTATTTTGAAGCTGAGAGAGACTTACCTCTTGGAAAGAGTCAATCAAATTTTCTACATTTCGCTTTCCTCCAGGGCGCAATCCGTAGGACCAGTGCTGGCTGGAGCAGCCCGCCACACATAACGTCAGCAGAATAAGTCCAGCTAGAAGTTTTGGAATTGGCTCCATTCTAAGGAATATCAATGCAACAATCAAAATACACCCAGGCTGGATTGAGCAAAAGGTAAAGAACCCTTTGGTGAAAAGCCTAACAATTGTGTCACTAACCCAAAAAAAGATGAAGGTAAGAGTCATCTATAATTTCCACATAGATGTGGAAATGCACTACCCAGTTGCTTGCTTGTTTCTTAGCCATTGGGGACAAAAATCGGTACTTTAAACACATGTTGAGTACTTTAGGAACTAAACTAGCCTACTTTTATTTTCATTATTTATTTTGTTATCTAAACTTCATGATCCCTCCCTCAGCAAATCACCTTTTTTTCTTAATCTGCAATTGGTTTTCAATTGTATCATTCCTGACGTAAAGAGAATTGGATCATCTGCTCTGGTAAGTAGCTCCGACGAGGAATTTCTGACTAATAGAGAGTTGCTTGGCATTAAATGACTATACTGTGGTACTAATTACATTTTTCTGAGCATCTATCTTATAGTTTTCCATGCATTTGTGCTGGCTGGGCCATCTGTGAGAATGAGAGGGGACTCAACACTTTTCAAAACACTGAGTCCCAGACCAGATGCCTCCCTGGCCAAGGCAGCTTCGAATTATCTAATGACGCGTAGCATTCTTACGAAGAGTCTTCAAATTAATTTGCATTTGATGGGAAGAGGCTAAAGGCAAAACCAAATACTGGTTGATGAGCTGTTGCAATTTCCCAAAGGCTGGATCTCTGTGGCCAAGGGTAACACAGATTGTGAAGGTCAAGTTTTCTTTAGATACTCTCACACCTGGACTTAGCCTTTAAGAAATAAAATGCCCTATAAAAAGATAATAATATGCAGTCTAGAAAAGAGTACTAGAAACACAAAGCATTTTACCTGTTTGAGAGCAAAGAGCCAAAAGAATGCCACGCTTCCTTTGGAGTGTGTAAAGTTGTGTGCCTTTTCATTTTCCTAGCTCCCTTTTTATATGAAACTTATCCAGGATACTGAAATCTTTCCCGCTGTTAAATTGTACTGCACGTGGACTATCTTCTTAATAGTAATTTTTTTAATCCTCACATAAAGCCCTTTAATGGTGTACGTAATTGGAACACCCATTGTTATATCTGTTGAATTTACTTAAATCTTGGCCAGTAAAACCTCAGCTAAGACTTTTATAGCAGAGGCCACAACTCAAAGAGATTAAAATCTACTTGTTTGGCTTCCCTTGAGGAAACTGACAGACCCATCAAGAGTTCAAGGGAAATAGCTATCTTAGACTAAGTGATGCTAAATGGAATAAAAACTTTCACAAAGAAGGCCATGTAGTAATTATCGAAAGAAGATGAGTCAGGATGACTAGGAGTTGGTCTCAGCTCTTCAATTCCTCATTTGTAAGAGGTGCTGATATATAAATAATAATGATTATTGGCACTATACCAAGCCCACATAGGGTCCTAAGTATATCATGTGAATTTGAAAATTCCCGTCTCCCACCCACCATGCTCCTTCCTTGATTTATCTCGAGAGCCTTCTATAGTATTAAAAAGGTGAGGAGAAACATCGTAGTTAGGATACACTAAACACAAGACCATCTAGAGCAGACTTATGTCAACAGTTCAATTCATTTCAGTAGATGCTTATTAAAATATGCAAATCACTGTGCTAAAGGCAGTGGGAGTACAAAGGTGAAAAATAATAGCTACCTAGTATATGAATAAAACCAGCCTCACTCATCATTAATAGTCCTGCAAAGTGGGCATTGTTATCCAAATTTTGCAGATAGATGTTTCAACCCAGCAGTGAGCCCTGGGATATGTTGTTGTCTATGTAGTACAATTATTTAAAAGAGATCTTTTAAAATATTTTTATTACATTTATTTGAATACATAATTGTCTTTTTCTAATTAACCACTGGGCTGTAACTCATAATAGTCAAGGATCCCATCTTATTTAAACATATTAATAAATTTGTAGAATTTAGTCAGCACTCAATAAGTATAGGTATGAATGAATGAACGAATGGAAATAAGGATCTTTTAAGAGATTGAGCCTAATGCTTCCTCTATTTCTGCATTAAAGGTATGTTTAATCTGGTAATTAAAATTTCACGTACAATTGGCTGTAAGCCCTATAATGTTAGATAAGTAGTAAGTAACATGGTTAAAAACAATTGGATATTTGGTTATTTTAGAGATGGGATTGGCAGTTTCTCCTTGGGTACGATTCTAAACCAGTCATCTCCCAGTGTCCGCTGGAAGTTACATTTGCAAGAATTTCATAGTAAAGAGCAATGGTGTCCTGCCCAAGTACACCCCTTGCTTTGCTCAGCCATTTCGCTGGAGGCTGTCAGATCCTTTGACAGGATAGAGAAGGGGATAAACTTGAAAATATAATTACAAATAGAAAGGAATTAAAAAGTAAAACATAGATTTGACTATTTAAATTATTTCAGTTTATTCATTTATACACTTTAAATAATTTAAGGGCCATTTTGACATGAAAGAGTAGAATCTCATCTCAGTATAATAGAAAGGTAATGAGAGGCCGTTTTTCAACAAAAGTTCATTATGCTTAAACAGCATTCATTTAAATTGTCCAATGGATTTCCTGTTTGCTGAAAGAGATGTGCTTCTAACAGTGTTGCTTAAGCAGATGTGGTCTTCTGTTAGGACTAATGAAATGGGAGTTAGGACTTCTGACCCTTTTTGTCAGGTTAATCACTTGTCTCTGGTGAAGCTCACTAGAGTTCTTGTAAAGTTATTTCTATCAGTTGGTATTAAATTTTTGAATGCTTTGAAATTTTTAGATGAATACAGCCACATGATCTATGCATTCAGTGTGCTCTATGCCCTCTAAGTCTGCATTAGTATTTTTGTAGGGAACGTAGTTTTCAAGGGCAAAGGCCAAACTTGTTTCATTTTCTATAGCATCAAATAGGATATCAAATATGCGATGAACAAAATTTTGATGTTTGTTGACAAACTCTGAACCTTTACATACTTCCAAGGATATAGATCAATGTACCATGAAGCTGAATTTACTAAATTGGGTCTATATGATCTGATTTTATAGTTATCAAGTTTTTTCTAAAATTAGAAATTTAAAAAATTTTAAAGTGTGGCTTTACAGGGAAAATGGCTTCATTTTAAGCACGAAAAGGAAACCTTAAAATTATTGAAATGTAACAGTAATAATTTAGTGATCTTGCTGAATGACAGACACACAAACCCTTTTGTTTGTTTGCCCTAATGTGAAATCTCAGCAGGAAGTACTCATGAAGTGCTGCTGACATAACTAAGGTTGTGAAAAGGAAGTCAGAAAATTAATCCTTGGATAAGCTGCTTTGTACGGAGAATAACATAGCTGCTTTTCTTTGTAGAGGTGTATATCTTTTAATTTTAAAAACAATACTTCCTTGGAGATTTAATAACATTCTAGGGCTTTTCAGATATTAAAGATGATTTCAAGTTGTCTTGAGGGTAGATTTACAGTCTAAACAACCAATCCACAAAATGAACAACTGGAGAAAATATTCTAGGTATTGACTTACGATGGTAACCTTCATAAGAAAAAGAATTTGTAATATTTCCTACTAAAATTTCTTTAAAACTGCAGTTGAAAAAACTAGACTATATTACAGCCCAACAAGCTATTGCTCTAAACAATTATACAGTAGAGCACTAAATGTCTTCAATGTACATAATCTAGCTAATTTAGGTTTAAAACCTTTTTCTAGCCCTCCCCGCAACAACAACTGTATTTTCACCTCTGTGGACAGACAGGTTCCATCACTAGGGCTAATGGAAGTTTTACTGTTTTGAAACTTTCCTGCCTCCTAAAAATCCTCTCTCCTAGCTGTCAGGCAAGAAATGCTTTGGGAGCAATGTATTTAACCAACCTAATAAAGCTAACTGGTAATGTTCATCAGCTAAAGAGAGATATAAATTAAATGACTATTAGAAGGCAGTCCTTTTTTCAGAATTAATGAAATTTCTTTGTGTTTTTAGCGTGCTGGATTTTAAGAAGAGGTTCATAAAATAATCATGCTTAAAGAAATGGATTTACTTTAATGGCGCTTTGAAAGGACTAATCCATGGTGGTATCCTGTTTCTTTTTCCACTCAGACTCTCAGGGTTCGTCATCAACACTTTGAAAAAATAAAAGCAAGCAAAATATGGAAGGTGCTGTTTTTCAAAACCAAGACAAGAAACGCCTTTCAACATTTCACATTGTTTATTAATGCAGTATACATTAGATCCAAACTCTGCAGTTTCTAAGCATACCATGTTTAGACCTTTCAGATTCTTCTGTACTTTTAGATTATGTCTACAGAGGTACGCTTAAGTGGATGAACAACACATTCTATAATTCTTGAAAATAGAGTACAGAGTGAAATGATTTAAATATAATTTAGGCACATATTGATTATGAAAATAGATATCTCTCAATACAATACTTCTCTGTCTTGATAAAAATAATGAAGCAAAGAAAATAATTCATTTCTGAAGTTGCTTTCCTTCACCTGTAAAGGTCTGCTCTCCACCTACTATGCATAAGTACCCTTTACTGTAAGGAAAGCTTTGCATATGTATATATATAAGAATAAGCTACATAAATATTGAAGACATGTCACCCTCCCAAAGGAGACAGAGTGGTTTTGTAATGATTCATTGCCTCAAAATGATGAGTCTGGAGAATTCAGAACCCATTTGGACACAGCTTATATCCCTGCCTTGGGGTAGAGGTTAAGGACACTGGTTACTGGTGAGGAAGTACAGGCCCTATCTCTGCTGCTGCAGAGAAGGAGTGCCAAGATCAGGCTAAAATTTATTAAAACAGAACCAACCAGAAAATATAAGTAAAAGAACCACAGGTGCTGACTGATTGGTATTACATCTTGGATTAGCCAAATGCCTTTATTTTTGTTTAAGTTTTTCGGTGGCTATCATCAAATGGTCAGTTTAAAATCCCTCATTCCCCAAAGGAGGGTTTTAACTACAATTATATTATGTTCACTTCTAAAGGATAACTTAGCCATATCTATTCATATTTTATAGCTTTGTTTACAGTGGATTGGGACTTAATATCTGAGTTGGCCCTCTTTAGTTGGCCATTGAATTAAATGAATTTGGTAATGCACCTTGGTTTTGGTTTTAAAATATTTTCCTATGCTTGTTTTGACTGTGGAGGAGGAAACTAGGCTAGTAGTGGAAATAAATAAAACTGCCTGGTCTGGTGTTTAAGTGGAACTTGCTTAGAATGAAATTCTAAGGAATGCTCATTTCTAAGTTGTTGCTATAGGTGAATACTTCTTCCGTCTGGAGAGTTCCACTGTAACTTCATTCAGCTGACAAAGAAGTACAATGATGTCTTTCCTTCTACTGTCTAAATCAGTAAGAATGGAGGATTTCTTTAATTTAGCTAGTTTTATTCGGAAAAATAAATATCATAAAAATGAACCTGAAAAGAGCCTTAGGGGTTCTGATGTCACCATGTTCACACGGTGTGACAGGTAAAGTAGGGGAGGCATCACTAAAGCTATTTATAAACCTGAACAACCTCTTCAAAATTTTCATAAAGTTTAACAGTTTAAATACCCATATGCATCTAAAGATTCAATAAATATAATTGCATATGTTGTGCTTCTCATAAATTAAAATCTTCAAATGCATTTCAAGCCAAGATGATATTTTCACATCATGCCTATTTAAAAGCAAATACAATAGATACTTTTCCTGGTCATAAAGCCAGGCAAATCCCTCTACTCCACTCGAAAGGCAGCAATCTAATCTAGCTTCCCTACATCTACTGAATGAGTGCTTCTCTGTTAAAATCAGAATGTAGGAAAAAAGTCACTTTTTTCCCTTTATGCACCACTGAGAACAAGCATGATCCTTTAAATGTTGTTGTTGTTGTTTTTAATTTCCTTACAGAAATAAAAGTGATAAGGAAAACATTTTTCATCTTGGGCATCTTCCTCCAGCCCTAAAATTTTCATCTGACACTTTGTGACATATGTAGTGGGGTCAGCATCTCTTCAAATATGGCTCCTTTCACGTTGGAACCTCTCAGGTTCGCTTCTTGAAGGTCACACCCAGACAGGTCACAATTCTGTAAGACAAAAATAACATTTGTGTGACTAACATAGAGATATAAGGCTTTATCTGTTTCTTCTCAAAGTGATTCTTAGGGCATGTTAGAAAAATGTTCCTATATAATAAAACTCAATTATTTCTGGAAAACTTCTATTTTAGAAGTCAGATTTTCTTCTACCTGTATTTGTTCTCTCTGGTTGCTGCTCAGGCTGACCATCACAAATATATACAAACAAAGGTTAAAGAAGAAGCATGTCTTTTCTGATCATGTATTTTAGAATCAGTCATTTAAAATCCAGAATGGACTCCAATGTAGTAAATATTATCTAATCAGTTTTATCACAAACCAAGAAAAACAATGAAAGGAATAGGGTGCAGGGGAAGGACAATTTTAAAAAACTCTGAGAGAAAGAGATTTTACTTAATAATTAAATTTTGTAATAGATGTTTCCATTCCCCAACCTTAACATTTTTATAGCAAGGAATTGCCTTTTTGTTTTCAACACCCAAATTATGTGTATAATCACTGAATTTTAACAAATGTATACAACAATGTAACCACCACCGTCACTGGGAGCTGCTTTTAAATTTCTCTTGAGATCACAGAGTGACAGATGAGACAGAATATTCTGAATAAGTCCCTGGGGATGGTAGGGACAATGATTAGAAAGAAGGGTGACTGCACATAAGCTTTTTGGACAGAATGTCAGCAGCTGCCCCTCAAGAGTCAGCCTGATTAGATTAGTATTTGCAATCAGTTGAGAAGAGGGAAGCGTTTGTTGCTGAAACACAATAACTGTATGGTAACTAAAACTATGGTAATTAGCACAAGGAAAAAAATCATCTTATCTGACAGTAACGAATAATAAATAGGTTTATACCTTCAGCCTTAGGCTGGTTCTTTTGCCTTAAAGTTTAACAGTACCTGCTACTCTGCTTAGCAAAAACATTTTTAAAAAATCAACAGCAAGCTAAATTTTGATGTACTGTTCTCTACAATGCAGTCTAAGCCAGATTTTCTTATATAGGGCTACACTGTTCAGTACGATAGCACATGTGGCTATTTACATTTAAATTATGATAAAATTTAAAAATTTAAAAATTCATTTCTCAGTTGCAGTAGCCACATATCAAGTATGAGGCTATTGGCTACTGTCCTGAACAGACATAGAACATGTCTAGCATTGCAGGAAGTGCTACTGGACAGCACTGATGCAAGCCTAGCAACAGCTATCGAGTCGGCTGGATAAGTCTGAAATCAAGACAAAACACAGAATACAATGCTGATGAAAAAGATGACTGGGCACAATTAAAATCTCACATTGAGATTCAAAAAGAATATGATGCCAATTTAGAATAGGCTTTCCCTGAACCTAATTTCAAACCCGGATATTGTTTAAATTTCTCAAGAAATAATCTAGCCCTATTTAATTGTTTGGGGGAAAAAATTAAGGAAAAAAATAATTAGATTAATAAAGCATTTATTATTTGAGAGACCCAAAGAAAAAAGAGAAATGAAATCGACTTAGATGGAACATCAGATGACTTTTCATCTGAAACTGGCATCTCTGACTTAGGTGACTAAATCCTGCTCTGGAATTCAAATTTGTTTAAATAAGCAACTGAAAGTAACACATCCCGCCAGCTGTGCTGGCATGTCACCCAGCAGGTCTCACCAGCCAACTACTTTGTTTATGATTTCAATAAATTTTGCATGAGATACTCAGTGATTCTTGATTAACAAAAATTCTAAAAATCGGTGACTCACCTCTAAATCAGTTCCTGCCAGAGTCGCTCCTCTGAGGTTACAGTTTTTCAACTTGGCATTTTTTAAGGTAGCGACTCTCAGGTTAATTCCTGTCATTTGACTTCCTTCCATATCCACGCCTTTCAGATTAGCACCTAGAGTGAACATATTTGGGATTAGTTGAACTTAAAAATATTTACAGTCATCTGCCTTCAAAAAAAAAAAACCACAAAAAGACTTAATGGAAGACAATGACAGGCTCTTTTAACTCTTGGAAATGACTGAAATAAGTCTCAGTCTCTCAAGCAATGTACATATATAAAGAGTTCACTGTTAACAATTTTTTTTGCCTATACTATGAATTAAGAATGTTTTAGTCTACATTTTTAAGGGAGGAATTCAATTTGGTGTTATGATAATTAGCACTTTTATAGTATACCTCCATAAGTTTATGACAAGGGAGATAAGTACTAGGTCTTCTAAATGTACAGGTCGACAAGGTGATCACTTCACAGGCACAACAAATCAATAAAGAATTCATAAACAAAACACTAAACCTAAAAATGACAAAATCTGCCTAGCTTTGTGCAAACTGAAATCTTTAATTTTGGTCAGTATAAGGGTATGCTGTTCTCTTTGAAAGTTTAAGATGTTGATATTCTCCAACTAAAGCCTCATTAAATATCAGAGGCGGCATTTCCCCTGAGGTCTCAATGTTGGTTAGTATATGACTGAGACCAAAGTATGACTGATTTCCTGTGCAAATTCTCCAAGTGTGACGACTGAAGAAACCGCCCCCCCTATGGTTATCATGTTTTTACCTGTAACTGTTATATTGCTGGGCTTTTTACTTAATGATATGTTTTCACCTTAGAAAAGGTAATTACAGATAGACTCTCACCTTCTAAATTGGCTTTAAGACCAGAAGGATCTTCAAAATTACACAGTTTCAGCGATGCCCCTTCTGCATTAGAACAGAGCATCTTGACTCCCTGGAGATTTGCACACTGGCAAAGAAAAGAGAAGAGTCCATGTTTTAAGGTTCAGAATTTTGTTTGGAAAAGAAAAAATTGGTTTGAACGGTTGTTAAACACCAAAAAAATTCTTCTGTGGCTGAAAGTCTTTTTAAAAGAAAGAGTCTATTAGGCCATTGCTAGCAAAAGAAAGCCAGTCTTGGGCATGGAGTCTGACAGCTCCTAGCAGCATGGCTAGGTAGGAAAGACAATATATCCGTCGGGGTTTTGCAAGTGTTTCAATATATCAAATGAGGTGGGAAGAAAGATGTAAACCGTTCTGAAAGGATTTACATTAGCTAGAGACAAAGTAGGTGGGAAAAGGTAAGTGTGGCAGGTGCTGGAACAGGCACAAGAGAGTCTGCAAGGAAGAAAGTGTCTGCTCCTGTGAATTAGCTGTGGGCAGCAGATTGGAAAGTTCAGGTGTAAATAAGGAGCGGAGGCTCCTAGTTCTATGGCACCTGGCTGTTCTCTCTGGATAATCTCAGAAATAGCCACCTAGAAATTAATCCGAAATTCCAACAGATATACAGGAATGAGATAAACAGGAGTCTTTAGTTAGAGCTATTAACAGGCTAACTCTTCTGTCTCTTCCTCTCACTCTCTGGCTGCTATCATTTTAATTTAGAACATTTCAAAATTTTTTTGTAACATTAAAAGAAAAAATAGAAAACAAGGAAGAAAAGCTCATTTGGTACACTCAATCACTTTCCGTTCACAGTAAAGTTTTCCAATTGAACTTAATACGAACTGAGAACTGTTTTTGAAGAAATAGTTCTTTTAAACTGTATGAAAAGAAACAAAGTCAAGTTAACAACAGCATGCCCACTTTCCATGAAACATAAGAGTTTAGATAAAGAAGTTGGGGAGTCAGAACTCTGACATCACCATTTCTACTTTTATAAACAACTTTGGGCATGACAATTGACAGTTGAAATGTATGGATACAAGGAAGGCATAAACTTGTTAGGGTAACAAATTTTCTCCCCTTGTTACTATAGGAATCAACCAATGAAATTCTAGATATTCGATCATGCTATTACTACCTTCATTTCAAAGGTCAGAAGAATAACAAGGCCAGCAATTAAAAGCATCATCTAGCTACAAAACAGGAACAAGTGGTTTATTGGGTCTTTTTGTTCTAACCATAGCTACACAACATTGTCAACATTAAGCACCCAAACCACAGTACAAAATACAAAGTAAAAAGCTAGAAAATGTATGTTAGAACTTAAATTATGTCAGTGCTATCAGATCTGAACTCTGACAACTACTAGAAAAGGCAGGAAGCTATAATGATGACATTAATATTAGACCTTCACCAATTGTGACCATCAAATAAATGATTAACGTGAAAATGTTTTAAAATCTGGAAGGCATTCTATAAATGATAAATGTAGTTGTTATTATAAGTAGAACAGTGAAGAAATCTAAAGTCCTAAGGCTGATCAAGTTATGTTATAGCCTTACCTATCAAGAAAAATCCTTGTTTCATAAATGCAACTTCATTCACCCTACAGTCAGTTCTAGTGAAAGGCAGATAAGCTACAGATCATTTCAAATCATAGATAACTGACAAATGCATGTACATTAACACAAGGTAGGACAGAAGCTCAAACTAACAGGTAGAATAATGAGTGACCAAAATAACTAAAAGATAACTGGATTTCATGTACTTGAAAATATAAGACAGGAAACTGAAACATGAAAATAAATGTCTCTGGTTCTCTGTGTAATGCTCCCATGTAAAACAGACTGTAAACATTATCCAAAGTTCCCAAGGTAATTACGTAAGTATTGCTCCATACTCAAGGCTGTACTATGGAATCTCACAAAGAAACAAATACATAAGAAATTCAGTTCAGTTTTCTGTCTTCAACCACAGAAAGCACTTCCTCCTCTATTTATCAAATAGTAACGCAGGTTACACATTGAGATTTTAGAACCCAGCTAATAAGTAAACCGGCACTGCCGCTGTAAGAGTTGTGCTCTCTCACTACATCGGGGGCAGTGGGCTTCATGAAAGCACTTAGGTTATCACTGTTATTTTTTAAGTATGATAATGGTATTAAGATTACATTTTTCAAATGGCCCTCTTATCTTTAAGAGGTAAATAGGTATTTACAGATGAAATAATGAATTGCTTCCAAATAATCTGTGGAAAGACAGAGAGAAACAAAACAAAATTCTTTATGTGTGGACATTTGTCGAAGCTGAGTAAATTGAAGTACAAGAGGGAGTCATTATACTATTCCATTTTTCATATGTTTGACATTTTCCAAATGAAAAAAGTCATTAAGAAAACACATGCTTTTCAGTCTTGTCCCAACTCTTCTAACAAACTAGCCTTCTGGGCTTGGGCAGGTCTCTAGGTTTCTCAGTAAAACAGCAGGGTCGTACTTGATGATCATCAAGGTTCCCTCCAGCTCCTACCATTCTGTAAGTCTTGGGCTGGGAATGTGCAATGGATGGATACCTAACAGCTGAATCATTATACCAGCTTCTCTGCAGCAGGCCAACATCAACAGGGGTACGCAGAGCAACACTCTAAAGTATGCTGACGGACCAGACAGTGTGGCACAGACATGGATTGCTTCTGATGGCAACTGAGATCACCTGGTTGACAGCTGAACTGGATGGTTCTCATGAAAAAGATTCACAGCCCACAACGGATAAACTAGGTGAGAAGTTCAATAATAGTGGTGGACACATTAGGTGCCTCTTGTGTGCAAAGCGCTTAGCACACGTGGCATTTTGTGGACACTGCAATGCGTTGGGCTGTTCACCAGCAGACTTGTTCAAATGCCAAGGACAATTAGCAATTAGTTTTCACTTGCACAGCCTACACACTCTGGGCAACGACTCATCAGCAATTTTATCATAAATAATTAAGTTTACAATTTTATAGCACTTCAGTTTATCAAATATATATGTAGATTTGTCTTTACATCAATTATATCAGATGAGTAAAACAAGTATTTACAGATAAGAAAAGATGGTTTTGCTTCAGTTAGTAATACTGCAATTAAACAGAACTCAAAACTGAATTTGAATGGAATGATCCAGATTGTCTTATCTTTTTTTTTTTTTGGTCCTTAAAACCAACCAAGCTGCCTCTTCACATTTCGCTATTTAAAGACTGTCCTTCAAACCTTTTCTTTGTGCTGTTGGTCTTTTGCTTATTTTGGTACCAATTTGATCATCATAAGATTGAACAAGGAGAGTAATAGTAACAGAAATGTATATTAGCAATTTTGTTACCAGACCTGATATAAGTTTCATGGAAAAATAGTTTGCAACTAAAGAATAAAATCAAAATTATAAAATTCAATAACCATTTATTCAATGACTACTAAAAGCAACTACTATAGTAGGTATTGTTAATTCAAAAGACATATAAGATACATATAGACCTGGGCTTAGGTTATTAAGGAATTTAAAGTTGTTAGAGTTCACTGTTGGTTCCATATATATCCTCTAACCCTAAATTCACACAGGTAATTGTAACATACATACACACGTGCATATACAAATGTACACACACATACCTATACGCAAACACACAAACATATATCTGTAGAGAGAGGGAGAGAGCCAAAGTTACAAAACCAACCCATTTAACTTTCACACCTTTCAGTTTTATCATCATCGACTTATAATTAACTGTTTTTAAGTAAAAGTACTAGTAAGAAACAGATGTAATTCTCGCTCTTTGAGACTGTTCAGTAGACTAAAAATTTAATTTTCTCTTGTAACCAAAAATGATTCTTACGTCAAGTACTGATCCAGAGAGATCAGCTCGTTCAAGATTTGCACAGCACAGATTAGCATGTGCAAGATTGCAGCGGCTTAAATTGGCCATTTTGAAGTTAATGTATCGAAGGTCCAAACGAGAAAGATCAGCACCACTGAAGTTTAAACCCTGAAATTAAAAAACATAAATTATCACAAAATTTAAACTGTCCGTTGTATTAAATTTAGTTACTATAGCTAATCATCATGTTTTTAGAAGCAACTGGCAGTTCAGTCATTTAGAGTTTATTAACAAACATGATCAAATGGAACTTCAATAGACAGAATCAGTGTCCTTAAAGGGTTCTAGTGAAAGGAGCTATTTGCACTTAATGTTAGAATGAGGCCTGACCATACCTCATTTATGTGCAGAAGTTTCTAAAGAGGGATCTCTGTTAGCCACATATTTGTTGATAAGTCTTATTTTTGTTAAAACTGATTATATTTAAATTATTTTATTAATTCAATAATTCAAGGTAGTTTTATTTTTTAAAGCAAATATTGTAGTTTTTAAAATCTTTAATGCTATAAAACATAAACGTAAAAATATCTGCCACTGACTAGCCATACTTAACAATTGTACAATTGACCATTTATTTTAATTGCTGAAATTTCTATGCACTACTCAAAAACTGTTACATGATGCATAATCAGACAATAAAAGAGGCTATTACATCTATTTTTGTTAAGTATTTTGGGATTAAATCAATGTTATAGCCCAGAAATAAATTATATCTTACATGAAAAAGGAAAAAGAGGCAAAAAAAAAATAAAAAATAAAAAAAATCCTAGAATGCAAAACTTTTCTCACAGATTTGTTGACACAAGTAACTTGTGTCAAAGTCGGCTTTGATTACCTGACAACGCAATTCTGATTTGGTTGGAGTGGCTAGCAGAAATCGGACAAATTCCTTTCGAGATATCGGTGAATGGTCCTCTGGTGGTTGAGAATTCTCGAAAAGGATATTAAGAAATTAGTAAAGCATTCTGAGGGATAGCTACAATAAATGTAATATTGGCTAATGTAAAAAGAGCCTTACCTTTATTGCCACTTCTAGGTGTTCAATCAATGAGTCAATACCAAAAAATCTGGCTTCTTCTAACACACCTATCATAATAAAAATGATTTGACTTTTACATAAAACTTTTCCTTTTAATATTTATAGAATTATTTGCTAAATTCTTACAATAAAAGTAAAATTCATCAAATAGGCTATCAATCAAAAGAGAAGAAAAATAACTCATGTTTACAACATAATAGGATATTTTTAAGTATTTGTAAAACAAAGTAGTTTACATTCAGCAAAAGAAAAAAATGGAAAACTAAGTAGAATGAAAGGCTTCCACATTTCAAAATCATTTCTGAATATTACTTTAAATAGGCCACAGGCAAAAAATCCTAATAACACATATTCTTCAAGTAATCCATAGTGATTGATTGTGAATCCAATAATAAAATAATTGGTTCACCTAATCTTAACATTTCAATGACTTTTTCAGTGGAGCAGATCTGAATAGGTTTGTCACAAATGTTTTTTACTTCCTGAATCAGGAAATTATAGAAATGAGTAAAAGTAAACTTCAAAACAAAAGTCAAAAGTATAACTCAGAAACTTTATTATGGAAAAATCAACTTTAAAAAATTTTTCTAAATGATAAAAAGGATTTTATCTATCATTTAACTTTCTTAATTTGGTAAAAAAAAAAAGTCTGCACATTCTCTAAGAGACTTAGTAGGTATACTTTCTCACATCTGTTAATAAACATTTTTATCAGAGTATGTGGGAATAAGTTTGGGGTACATTTTCCATAAAATGAAGACTTTAGTCATTCAGTTGGCTGAGTCTACTTTTTAAAAAAGGACTCAGGAATTACAAAGAAAATGAGACATAATCTCTCCCTTCAAATGGCTCCAAGGTAATAAGGGCAACTATATGTAAACATATTTGGAGAAAAGATCATAATCTTTTCTGGGAAAACCCAACTCCACCTCTAATATTCCAATAGCAAAGCAAAGGTCAAGTAAGGATCACTCAGGTAGCCACTGTGGCACAACACTTTCCAGTCCACACCACAGTGGCTTCACCTCTGGATTCCTCCTGAAGGGGCAGCCACGCTTCGATATCTGTCCCTGGGAGAAACCCATCACAAAGATTTGCCACTCTCACTCTCAGTTTGCCAAGATCTACTGAGTAAATCAGAACCTCCGGGGGAATGTGGTAAGAATTTTTTCTAATTCCGGGTTCAGAATTAAACCTGAAAAACGTTCAGAAAAGCCTTATAAATATAAAAGACACCCGTGGGGACAGTTGGAGGAAAGACATAATATTTAGTGGAGTTCTTTGTTAACACCAGAAAGGTATGGATTTGAATCCCAGCTCTGCTACTCACTATCTTTTTCATCTTGGAGAAGCTACTTAATCTCTCAGTTTCCATATTTATGAAATGGGGATATTATTACCTTCCTTACAAAGTTGTAAGAAATATTAAAAGAGATAAGGCACATATTATCTGGTATAGTGCCTGGAACCTGGTAGGTCTTCAATAAATAATCACCATGATTATTATTAAATTATATATTTTCGAACATTTAAGACCATTCTTTTTTTCCTGTGTCAAACAGGGGAAGAGCTGCAATGATCTGCAGTTGGTAGCTGCCTGTGCTAGACTTGGAGGCACCTGAGACAGGTTATGCTGCAAGTCGAGGCTGGGCGCCACTAGTGCTGGGGGCCACTTAGCACGAGGTACAGGGCACAGAGGCCAGCTACTGCTCTTTTGGGGTTTGTGGACCTTTGAGAGATTTTAGGAAAGTCTGCAGTGTGGGCAGAGGCCAGCAGCTTGTGAGGAACAGAGCAGCTCAAAGAGGTTTGGGCTGGTGCTCAGGTTGGATGGGGCAAGTGGTGTTAGTCAAGTTGATAGGGACTCAGATATGGTGCCCACCTGTGCTTGCTGGCTGTGTGGGGGGAGGACTCAGCAAAGGAACAATGGCCTTGCTAGCACTTCCGTCTGGGGCAGAGTTGCCCCTCCAGCCCTTGCCCTGAATCCAGACAATTCAGTTCCTCCCTCTATGTCCTTAGTGCTTTTTGAGCTGCTGTCCCTTCACTGGAGCTTAGGGCAGGTATTTATGAGTTAGAGTAGTCTGTGCTCGGGCCCTTTAAGAGGATGCCAAGGGCTAGCAGCCCTCTGTCTTGCCCACACAGAATGCCTGCTGATTTTCACAGCCAGATATTGTGGGGACTTTGCTTCTTAGCACTGGTACCCCAGGCGGGCAGGGACCCCTTGTTGCCCAGTGTGGACCTCCACAGCCAAAGTATCCCTCCCGATTCTTAACTGCCTGTCACAGGTAGGTGTGGGACCAGCCCTCCTACCAGTCGCATTGTGGTTTCTTCTTTCTATCCTTAGTTACAAGTGTTCTGTTTAGCTAGTCTCAGGTGATTCTCAAGGGTGGCTGCTCTATAACTTAGTTGTAATTTTGATGTGGTCCTGGGAGGAGGTGAGCACAGCATTTACCTACTCCACATCTTGCCTGGGAGTCTCAATGAGTATATTTTTAATACTAAGTTTTCAAAGGGGACTCGGAGAGACTTTCCCCAAATTAATCTTAGTAAGCTATAGAATCGAGATTCTAATCCAGTCTTATGATTCCAAAGTACAATTTCCCCTCTTGACCACTCTACTCATCACTACAGTGGGAAGGTCCATGATGTGAAGCCAAGTCTCAGTCACAATTCAATTAAAAAACAACAAGAAAATCCTTTAACGTCCCTGGTGATAACATCTAAATCTATTTAAAATCTAAAATCGGAATTTATAGGTTTGATATATACCCATATATACAAAGACTGTCTACCTGAAGGACTACCTACCTATACCTATTTCTATACCTATATACACTCAAATATAGTTGACCCTTGAACTATGGGGATGAGGGGTGCCAACCCCCATGCAGTCAAAAACCTGCATATAAGTTCTGACTCTCCCAAAACTTTAGTCATCCCTTGGTATCTGTAGAAGATGAGTTCTCGGACCCCCACAGATACCAAAATGTGGGGATAATCAAGTCCCTTACATAAAATGGCAGAGAACATTGCATACAGTTGGCCCTCTGCATCTGGGGATTCCCAATCACAGATCGAAAATATTATTTTGGATTTGCATTTGGTTGAATGTGAGGATGTGAAACCAACCCATGGATATGAAGGGCCGACTGTATATTTATTGAAAAAAGTCCACATATAAGTGGACCCACGTAGTTCAAACCTATGTTGTTCAAGAGTCAACTGTACATGTAAAAACATGTAGAAATACTTTCGCTTTATGAAAATATATTAACTTACTAAGCAAGTGAAAACATAATAAAAATTATAAACTTATAAAAATGTGAGGAATTATATTGAAAACTCACCTAATAAATTAATGCCATCATTTACAATGAGCTGTCCATGACGCAAGTAGTTCAAAATGGGTTCAAAGTATTCAGGACTTCGGTCAATTAGGAAAGCTCCTCTATGATCCTGCTTATTTCCCCAGACACCTGTGTTACCATTGAAATGAAGAAAGTCCCCGACAATCAAAAAACAAAGTTAGAAATGTATGGAAGGAAAATTGTGGAACATACCAGTGAGTTTTCACTTTTGCAAAAATTATTGATGTCATTAAAAAGTACAGAAGGACAGGAGTTATGATGTCAATGCAGCTACAAACAGATCACACGAAATGTGAAAACAACGTGTTGCGCTCACCTTTGTCCTTAAACATGTGGGCCAGCATACTGTCGGGTTCTTTATTCACTAAAGTGCTCCTAAGGATTCAGGGAAAAAAATTGATTTCTCCATTTGTCTTTATAAACAAACATATTTAAGTCAAGAGTATACTCGATCCCAGCTGCTCTCTCAAAAAGATGCATGCTACAACCTGGTAGGAGTGACGCTGGGAAACAAAAACGTGCAATAAGTTGCCATTTATCAAAATCTCTCTAATCTGGCACTTCCTTTGATTTACATATTGTTTTAGTTTCCTTTCATTTAAAAACTAATCTGTCCTTTCAGCAAGCTATTACATCTTAATATTCTTGATCTAAACATATTTTTCTTATCCCTGTAATATAAGCAGCTGTAGTCTCTACGAATTTCAACATTGTTAACTTTTACTTGTGTTGCATGTATGTTACTCAATATCTAAAAAGCATGTTGCAAAACACTGAATTCATGCTTTTCATGCTTTCTCTGGAATGACTTGTGAACCATTTTTCCATTCTTTAAAAAGACTTTCTGAAAATAGTTTCAGATCACATAATATATTAAGCAGCATTTCAACATCTTCTAAGGAAATCATCAAACTGAAGGAAAGAACAAATGGTACATAGTGCCCCCCAACACACATGTGCACACACATGCACACGCACCTACCGTGTAGTTGTAAAGTACCGCCCTCCAACATTTAACGTTAGCCAGTCTGTGTGAGATCCTGACAAGCCTTCGGGTAGTTTAGAATCTGTCTGAGGATCTAGAGATGACATGTAGAAAATAATAAATACATTTAGATTAGGGATTTGGAGAAAATGGCAATAGCATAATTCTTAAAACTAAAAACACACATAAAAGCGTACCAGAAGTACTAGGACGGTAAAATTGATACCCATGGACAGCATCTAAAACAAAGTAAGTGATAAGGTACTCCCACCAACACTGACAGCTAAAAGACCAGCACCTCTGAAGGAAGAAGCTGAGAGCAACAACAGGTTATGTGATGAACCTAAGATTCCAAAGGAATCCATAAATATGCATGTCAAAGCTCAGCAAGTCCATTTGAGAAATGCAGACTGAAGGTGGGAGGGCTATGCCCGCTCCAACCATCAGTGATGCAAGTAGTTTGCAGTAAGATCTGATGAGGCTGGAAATGAACTCTCAAAACCCACCAGCCAAAATCTCTTCCAGGACAAAGCCCCACTCTGCAGATAAAATATTAGGAAAAGAATCCAAGTTGAACAAAACAGTGATAACAGAGACAAAAGAAAAAGGATTATGGTTAAAAAGTCAAAAAGGCATAACAGAACCAGACTATATCTGAAGGTGAGCTCTATATTTAACACTTTACAAAAACCACAGAAAAGGAAAAACTCTGGAGCCATGAAATTTGAAAAACTTTCCTAGGTCAGCCCTCCCTTCTCAAGTTAAGGAAAACTAACTCCACATAAAAATAAGCAACAGAAAAAGACTGAGATCAAATCCTATGTAAAATTTTTAAAAGGGTACGAATTACATCTCTAAAGACAACGAAAATGTGCCAGAGAGAAATGCCCACAAAATAGATTAAAAACGATAATATTCCGAAACATGCTTAAAAAAAGTAATTCAAGTTATAAAAGAATAAAATAAACCAGAACTACAAAATTCAGAAATGAGATGAGAAAACTCAGGAGGCAATGAAAATAAAAAGAAAAACAATTCTGCAAATGAAGATTAAACTAGAAGATAAACAGGAGTAAATAAATACAACAGATAATGCCTTAAGGGAAATAAAAGATGCAAAAGATGCTTTAAAAATCAAAAAGAAATAAAGAAATGAAAAAGGATTTAATAGATTTCAAATATATTAGACAGGTGTAGAAGATCCAACATATATGCAATTGGAGTCCTGGAAGAAAAACATCAAAGCAAGGAAAAATAAATAAATATATAATTTAAACGTAAAACTTTTTTGAAATTTATTTTTTAAAATCAACCCAGAACACCCATAAAGAGTCTATGAAAATTACTGTATTTTAAAGAAAGAGATTAAGCCTTTGGGTGACTTAGGAAAAACAATCACTTACAAAGGATCAGATTTTTTCGATACCAACACTTTATGCCAGAATAAAATAACAGTAACATGTTTAAGATATCTGGAGAAAGAAAATGTGGCCTAAGTATTTTTTAACTGCTTCATTAAGGAATAACTGATAATAAACTACACATCATTAAAGTTCACAGTTTAAGTTTTGACATATCATTTTATTTCCAGCCAACTGACTTTCAAGTTTAGAAGCCATGAACTGTTATTAACATGCAAGATGTTAGAGAACGTTCTCACAAGTTCTTTGTAAGGCAACTACTGGAGAACAAGTTTCAGACAATCACTGGAGGCATCAACATAAGGACTTGAGGTAAACATTAAATTCACTTGCAAGGAGTAAAATTCAGAGATGGTTTGAAGGGAGAACATATAGCATATAGTGGCTACTAACACTGTAGAAACAACTATTTTCTAAGTAAGGGAAGAAAGGAATGAACATATACAAAAAATGTTTAACTCTTTAGTAATCATATTGATGTTAAAAGTATTGGGATCGTTACTCTGACACTTCTTTGTGTATTTTGTGTGGGATGAAGTAAATGTAATTATGTGACATTCCCTATATCCCTCAAAACAGGATTATTGATATGGAAGAAAGGAGATGTAAGATAAAAGTAAAATAAAAATCTTACAATCTCAATTATAAACCAGAAGTATTAATATGAATCCATGAGATAGTCTGTCTATATGTTATGTTATATATAAAGCTTTGCAATAAAACATACTGCATATAATATATAAATTTTATCTCTGGCTAGCTATGCATTTCCAGCTCTGTCCACCAAAAAGCCTAGTAATAATGAGGAACCCAATAACAATGAGCCTCCCTAGCACCCAGACTGTGTCTTGAAATGACATATCCAACTAAAAGAAATCCAAGCTTCTTAGAAAAAACATTGATCAGGATCTGGGACAGGAGAAGTATAAGATTAACACTTTGTTATTCCAGAGAGTAAGGAACTGTAAAAGACTAATGAGGTTGTGTTAAAAGAACTTAAAGAGGTTTCCACTGGCCCAAAGTAGGATAATCTAGGCATCAATTAACACAGAGGATAAAAATATACCAAATATTTTTAAATCCAAGAGTTCATAAAGATCAAACAAAACAAACACTAGTCATTGTTGGTATACATGCAATGAACCAATTAAGTGACCATGTAGAGACAGAAAAAGAGTATGCACTTCTAAATTGGCAACCACCACTGCGATGATCCTGAAAACTACCTCCATTCACCAAATACAATTACTGTGATGGCTTAAAAATATACTTTGATATTCAGGGTGCGATTGTGTGGAACCAAATAAATCAAATACTTGTTAAAGAATATTCACTGTATTATACAACTGTAGAAGCTTGCTTACGAATCAAATGGCAGTGTGCGTATTTATGCACGTGTGTATGGTTGAAATTTTTGACTGGTTTGATTTGACCACAGTGAATGGTTGTCAAATATTACTTATGCAGCAATACATGCTTTAAAATATGTAATATAACACTTAAGAGAAATTTTGACAACTATCAAAGAGGAAATTCAAAACAAAACAATTGTTTCTGAAAATCAAAACTGCCTTATTATGTCATATTTAATGAATATGTGGAGGTCTAGAGCATTTTAAAGGCATGTGTAAAAGATTAGGTATCCATATTAAATATGATCATATAATTCAAATTTAAAATTTAATTTAACACATACATCCAATGCAGAATCAAAAAAGGTAGGAAGATCTGAATACTACCACAAGATTCTAATGTTAAGCCATGTAAAATATCTGTCATTTCATCTTTCTTATTTTGGCAGACAAAATTGGCTTTTAAGAAAGTCACTTACCAATGAATGGTTCTCCTTCACACACAAATAAAACATCATCATCCCTGGGGAAATCAAAATTTAAAAAGCTACCATCAAAATCCAGAAATCACATTAATTATCTGTTGACTATAGAGGAAGTACTCAGAATTTTGTAGAAGTTAGGTTTTGCTATCTATCTGTATTGCAAAGTAGACTTAAGTTTCCAGTGCTTTCTTTGCTTAACCTCCCCTGTTCCCGCCCGCAACTATCTTTCGATATAAATTAAAGATCCTGCACATGAAAATTCTTTTGAAATGGAAAACAAAAGAAAACAAAACAAAATCCACTATACAAATTATGTGAATTCAGCTTTGTTACTAATTAAAGAATATAGTGTTATGCTCAAAGCATATCATTAAAGCCATAGCCAACTCTTCTGTTTTTACTTGAATCCTAAAAATCTAAATAAATTATTAGGGTTTTCTCTCAAATCATCAGCTGCTTTGTGCTTTGGAAATGAAAACAAATTTTCATATTAAATCTAGGAAAAATATAATTGGGACTAACTCTGTTGTGAACACCCACAAATATAAATGATTGCCCATATTCTGAAATGCTTGCTTATCGGTGTATATATATCCTATCCTCCCCTGCCCCAATCCATTCCATCATAAGTATAAGTAAATTATCAGAGATTGTTCTGTGAACCACAAATTATTAAACAGGTAGGTATTTTATAGTTTGGAAGGCTTCATCAAAGTTATAACCTTTGATGTTGCAGAAATTTTTATTTCCTGTAAGACATCACAGGAACACACTGAATTTTTCTTAAAAGCGGAGTGTGTTAAGAAGTTTAGGTTAATGTAAATCATTCATCATCAATGATGTGACTCAATTATCCATATAAACTGAAAGAACCTGGAAGATAGATATTGAAAAACTAAGAAATTCTCCTAATTTATTTAGGTTTTAAATCTTTTAGGTTTATAAGATTTTCTACTTGCTCATCATAGTCGTTAACTTTTTAAGATGAGTATGAAAATTTGTTTTCTTCTTATTAACAAAAATCAACTAAACTGTATGACCCAGATAAGTCATTTAACTTCTCAGATGTTTAGTTTCCTCATTTATAAAATGAAGGGACTAGAAGTGATTAACTTTAAAGGCAGACCTGGACTTCAGTGAAAATTAAACTTTGTATGCTACTGTAATTTAGAGCATCATTATCTATACTCCATCAATTAAAAAAAAAAATCCATGCTTGGCCAGTTAAATGAGATAACTTGGGCAAAGCAAATACAACATAACTGGCACAGTCAGAACTTAATTTGTGTTCCCTTTCTATCTTCTTTGTTAAGCTTCCTGCTCCGAAATTCTATGATCTTATTAGGATGGAATGAGGTGAACTTGACACTTGTTTTAAAGAGATAAATCTGCCTTTGATAATTAAAAAACAAAACCATAAAATAAACCAAAAACCACTATTGTGGATCACTGATGAGTTAACTACTTAAAATTCTATCACATTTAGCAAGTTTTCACCAAAGTAGATCTCTGTAATGTTTATAAAATTCAAAGCATTCTTAAGAAATCAATTGAACAATATACAATAATATATAAAATTAAAGCGATCAATAAGATTTCTAACATTAAAAAATGCATATCTTATTAGATCTCTAGTAACATAAAGAAATTTCTCAAAGCCATACTATGCAGAAAGACTACTGATATATTGGAATGTACTGAAATATGTTCTATCAGATCAACACACTCTCAGTCCAAATGGTTTAAATTCCAAAGAGCAAATTCTAGGCAATCACTTGCCAAATTCCTGAACTCTTAACAGTAATTAAACTATTGCTTCAGGGAAACAGCATAGCGCCAAGCAGCTAAGGGCACGCTCTAGACAGCTTATAAAAAAATGAAGTTTACCTGATCAAAGCAATATCATCAATCAGTCCACCTTTCCCATTATACACACTAGTGGCTTTTATGCCGAGTTTACTGCTGGCCACAGAAAGCAAATCAGATAAAGTTCCATATACAGCAACCACCTGTAAACACACCAGAGTAATATGAACAACTTATATAATGAATTTCGTCACTCACAAAATATAAACCACCACACTATAAATAGGACTAAAAAATCAGATTATCGTGTAAAAGGAGATTCTGCGAGGTTCTTAACAGTATCCTTTGACTCAATTACTTAATTCCTAATACTGCTAAAATCTACAGCTAGGGAATCAGAAATTGTCTGACTTAAAAACAATCTACATTCTTAATGTATGTTAAATAGTGCTCCAGTTCTGAAAACAGTCAGAATTTAGATTCTGGCATTTCTGTCGACGTGAGACAAATTATTTAACCTCTTTATGTTTCTATTGCTTTACCTAGAAATGAAGAAAATAGCCACACCTACATCAGAAGACTGTCATGAGGATAAAATGAATTAATGCTTAGTAAGAGCTGAGCCCAGTGCCTGAGAACTATTAGCCTTTATGACGTCGTTTTTACATTATTCTTTTGTTAGAGGAATGGTTTATTTTTGAACTAGGAATGACTTACTGCTGTTTATTATAACATTTATTACATCAACTACCATATGAAAGCCAACAACTTCCCACCTCATTTAATTCTTCAACAACTACTTCATAAAAGCCAGATTTTAGCTAACATTCTAAATATGGCAAGCAGCTGGGTTTGCTCTGTCCTGCTGAATTGTCTTGCTTTCAATCAGGCAATCTGATATGTGTGCAAGGTAGATGCAATTGCTTAGGTAGGAGGTTGAGAATCTCTACAGGTAGTTAATTTCTTGCTCCAGTCATAACTGTAACTGTGGGTTCCCAGGAGCTGAGTTGTACATTTGTACCATTATCAGTTAGGATTTCTGAAAGTTATGAATAAAAAGTAGGTGAGGAGCTGAACATGAAGTATTTACAGCCAATTGACTCCTCACAGGATATTGGATAAAGGAGCCATATGAAATGAGAACTGGGGTCCTTCGTTCGCCAGTTACTGTAGTATATAGTAGACACTGAAATTTTAGTTAAATGAAGTGAATAAAGGAGTATGGAGGGCATCGTTTGCTAATATAGGAGTGTGCAATCTTTCAATAGCGGAGTACGGATTCTGTTTTCTCCTGGATCCTAAGGATAAAAAGCCAGAGAAATGTTGCAAGCTGGGGCATTTTAGGGAAGAGATTTAGGCAAGCACAATTTAAAAGTAACTAGGGAGATTATTAAAATAATGCTCAACCCATTGTCCATATGCACATGAATGGATAAACAAAATATGGTATATACATACAATGGAATATTATTCAGCTATAAAAAGCAATGGAATTCTGATACCTGCTACAACATGGTTGAATCTTGAAAATATTATAAGTGAAATAAATCAGACACATAAAAGGACAAATTTTGAAATTCTGTATGATTCTACTTTATGAGGTAATTAGAACAGCAAATTCATAGAGACAAAGTAGAAAGAATAAAGGTTACCAGGCCAGGGGAGAAAATGGAGAGTCATTGCTTAATGGGTACAGAGTTTCTGTCTAGGGTGATGAAAACGTTTTGGTACTAAGTACCAAGTACAGTTGGTACTAAGTACATTCACAATGTGGTACAAGTACAGTTGGTACCAAGTACAGTTGGTACTAAGTACATTCACATTGTGAATGTACTTGACACTAATGAACTGTACACTTAAAAATGGCTAAAATGTTAACTTTTATGTTATGTATATTTTTCCACAATAAAAAAATAACGCAAAGCACTTGGCACAGTGTCTTGCACACAGCAGACACATTATAAATGATAAAAGCCTGAATAAAATGTGTCCCCCACATTTCCTATCATTTTTCACCTCTGAAACAGAGCCTGGAATTCTAACCATTATTATAGATACACGTTCCTGGGAGGAAAGGAAGAGAAATAAAGTACACTAGGCATTATGTACAGCAAACCTGGTTGGGTTAAGGCAGAGGGTGGAGCAAGAAAAGAGAGAAAATCATCAAAAATGCAAAGCAGCAAGAGACTGACCAAAGCAAATGCAAAACAACTTTTACAGTCTGGAAAGTGCTGTGGGTGGGAGGTAAGAAAATCCTTTTCCACATCACCATTCTTGTCATAGTTGTTATATAGGCCTTTTTCTTTCTCTTCTTATTTATCTCTGCTTCTTGTACATCTCTACATGGCTTTATTTAGCCTGACATTATCCCCTCCTCACCCTAACACCAGCTCTCTCCCCAGCATTTCTTTTCACTTCTGTCTCGCTCAGTTTGTCATATAAAATGTATGTAAATTTAATCTGTCCATATTATGTTTACTTTAAATATCAGAGCATAACATTCTATGTGACTTACTTTTCAAAAATATATCAAATTAAATTGTTTACTAAATGCATATGATTGACTTGATTTTTTCCCTGTGGATCAGTTGTCTCCTAATGAAAATAAAGGCCACCCACCAGCCTAATTTGGAAACCACTAGCTACAAGAGGCTATTTAGATTTTAACTTGTTAAAATTAATTAAAAGTTAAGACAGTTCATCAGCTACAGTAGCCACATTTCGGTGCTAAAAAGCCACAATAGTTTGTGGTTACCATGTTGAACAGCGTAGATATGGGATATTTCCACCAACACAGAAAGTTCTATTGAACAATGCTGTTCCAAAGAGCAGAGTAAAATGAAGAAAAAAAAATCTATTTTAATTGTTAGGCTTGACCATACCATAGCAATGTACAGCAACAAAGTGAGAGTCCAGCTCAAAACCTGTTTGTTTTATATGGAGAGTTGAGTAGTTGTCATCCTTTTTCTCTTCACTGAAGTCGAATTTGATTAAGAGATAGGAAGAAACCCACACATAGAGTTTTGCAATTCTCAGCCCAATAGGAGTTTCCTTGTAGGCTGCAAGGAACCTACTCAGGAGCACATTCTAGGTATCAATTCAGTTCTTTTATTTTATTATCACTTAAATCAGCCCTAATAAAGTATCAAACACAATTTATCATGGGACTAAATATTTTCCAATCTGACTTTCTAGACTCTAAAAGTTTTAACAAGTTTTAATTTGTAAAAAGTTGTTACTCATTCTGCGACTATAGGTAACCAACTATCCCTTCGTGATGCTGATGAGCAGTGCTAAAGTTTATCCCCAAGCACTACCCTCTTCTGAAGCCAGAAAATAACCACAGCCAGTTTAAAAGAAGGATCTACTTGACTGAATGTTACATTAGCTTGCTTATTTAATAGTAGGCCTGCCATAAATATTTCCTCAATGCTGAATGAAATTTTCATTGCTTTCAGTGTTGAACTAGGACATGCCTTTTTCTGTGTGTCAGTTATATTTACTTAAGTCTTTTCCACCGACATAAAGTTGAAAAACAAAATACACAGTATAAATGCAATTCTAAAGTGATATTCATAAAACTACTGAAAGTGGCTATCTTTGGATAATGGAATTATGGTTGGCTTATTTTCTTGTGAGTGTTTTGTTTTCAACATTTATTACAATGAACTTGTGTTACTTATTTAATAAGGGACAAAAGTTATAACTTATTTTAAGGTCTCCACTGCTCTAAGATACTTGTTTTAGAAATAAAAATAACTTTTGCAGTTGACAATCTAGCAATTGAAAAATTACTTTAAATGAAATAACCAAAGGGCCATAATTGGAGGAAATAAAAATGAAATTAGTACAAAGCATCTTATAATTATGTAAATTTGAAAATTTCCCTTAAATTGGACCAACATACTTGTTTTTCACTTGGAGGGCATTCTTGGCACTTATTTTTCAACTAGATCACTTTACTTTGACTCTGTCAAACATACTAACAAATAAGATGGACTTATACTGTAAAACTAATGTCTAAAGCGCTTTTATATAAACTAATCAGAATATCAGATTTAAAAACATATCTCAACATAAAAATGTGATACACGTGGAAAAGATTTTGAGTTGACAAGAAAGTTTCAAACAGACTGGTACATGATGTAACTTTATATAACAACTTTATTGGGAAAAGCAGCAATGGAAATCTTGTATATCATGTATATAAGTTCTAATTGTTATATACTAAGTTTACTTTCGTTCCCTTAGAAAGGCTGAGCATTTGTAAAATGATCATGCTTACAGTGGTTACTTGCTTCATGTGTGGGCCTGAAATTTCCATGTCATTGTGATTATCCACTTTAAAAACTTAGGCATTATACTATACTTAGACTGGAAGTATTCTATGGAGTAATTTGAGAAGCACACCTATTAAAGTTTATGACTGCTATATTATACTGTTATTTAACTTATTCCCTTCTAACTTTCAGACCCTATGACAAATGAAAGCTATCTACCAATTGGTGGAAGTAAATGGTACACTATACGTAGCAAGACATACCAATTTCAACGGAAGTTTTAAATTTGCCCTTAAATGCCATTTTCAAATTGTAACCTATGTTACAAAAATTAAAACCTGCACGTGTATTTAAAACATTTTTTTCTTACATCCTACAATTATCTATTACATGATACACAATTGTTGAATTTATGTAGGTCAATTTACCCAACCAAAGCACCAATCGCATTAGTAACTAAGTGTAGAACTCAGTTTACTCTACTTACACTTTCAGTAATAAATTTAAAAAATTAAAATGATTTTATTCCTAAAAAAGATAGCATAACTAGCTCTAGATCAAGAAGACAAAAATTAAAATATTAGAAATTAAAAAGTTTGAAAATACCAAGGGTCGAAGGGGATGTGGATCAACGGGAAGGTTTATGCAATATTGGTGGGATATAAATTAATCAATGACTTTGGAAAATAATTTGGCACTATTTTGTAAAACTAAATATTCATATACCCTAACACCCAATATTTGCAATTTACATATATAGAAGCAGTGGTTCTCAAAAGTGTGTGCCTTGGTAGGCAGCCTGGAGCTGTGGAAATATATATTACCTGGAAATATATATTACTGACCTACTGACTCTGAAGCTCTGCAGGGTGGGGTCCAGCAACATGTTTTCTCAACACCTCCAGGTAATTCCAGTGCGTGCTAAAGTTTGTGAACCATGCCCCTAGAAAAAAGCTTGCATGTGTGTATGAGGACACATACATATATATATATACATATATATGTGCATGTACATATATGTACATACAAATATGTACATACATATATATATGAATATTCACAGAGCACTCTTAATAGTAAACTATAAAGAAAATAAACAATTCAAATGTCTCATGACAGGATAATGGAAAAATTATGGTGGTCTATTTATATAATGGACTACTTATTATAAAGCAGCCAAAATAAATAAACTATCACTGTGTGGGACATAAGAAATGGAACCTTAGAGATATATTGAATGAAAAAAGTGAGTCCAAAAAGACTACATATGATGATACCAATTTAGGGTATGTTCCCAAACTGAGAAAACAAGAAATATATAGTTATACACACATAAGTGGCAAAACTACTATCAGGAAAAAAGAAAACATGGCAAAGAAAAATACAGAATTCATGAAAATGGGAGAGGCAGGGGATAGGAAAGCAGGCGAGCACATTAAGTTCTTGGTAACATGTTACTTCTTGGTTGTGTGGCAGGCTGATTGATATTGTTATATTACTTTCCTTTTAATTTTTATGCATATTAATGTTCTTTATTATATGCTTTTATATGTATCAAATATATTCTAAAACTGTTTAACTTGAAGAGCAAGCCCTCACAAGGTTATTAATGTTTAGATTCCAACAGGCAAAGGTTCACATAGGTTTTCCCCTTTCTTCAACTCTAACAATATAATGGGTTCAAATCTGGATATTTAATATCAACAACATATTTCTGACCTAATGTCAAAGCCAGGAGAAAACAGTTATTACCTGGACAGAGACTGTAAACATCAGTACAGACTTATGATCTATTTCATATCCAAGGAAGTCTGCAGTGCCTGGCATGGTTCCCCACACAAAGACGGCACCATGTAAGAGTTGGCTGCATGAATGAATAAGGTATTCAAAAGCCCTATGCTTTGCACAGCTCATTATTGAATATTCTGTAGTAAAAAAAAAAAAAAAAAGCAACTTATGTTCAAGATGTACAAAACTTTGAAATGACATCAGGTTGCTCAGAAACCACTCACTACATTCAGATATCTGAGTCCTCATTTCAAATTCCTTAATGCCAATGATTACAGGGACCATTAAAAAGAGAACAATGGAAATTCTGAGCATATGGAGAAAGGATGAAAGGTTCAAGCATAACCATCTTTTGGAACAATTAAAAAAATTCAAATGAAAAGAATATGATTTCCTAAATGATATGAGGACTTCTATCAACTTGATAGCTTGAGTCAGCTAGTAAAAATCTCCTAAATATTTATCATTAAACTTAGTGAAATTCTGCCAAATACAAAATTGACTTTAAACATTAAAAAAAAGAAGTTAAGGGAAAAATTCTTAAGTTGTTTGTCTTCGTGTGCTAGAAAATATTTTTAAATGTCTTGCTAATTGGGATGACCTCATCCTATCATAGGCTAATATTTCAAAGAAAAACAGTATAAACTTAGGGAGTGAGTGGTTGATCACTAACGGTAGTTATTAAATAGGACTTCGGTTTTCTTTAAAACTTGGCATATTTTGACTTTTCAGATTCAAATAGTTCCACTATTTTTTTTTTTAAATCTCATAGTTTATATCAGAGAAGTAGCAACTCTGCCATTTTCTCATTGCTTCCTTATGCTTGCATTGATTAATATTGTCTTCAATCGGCACTTTCTTTGAAGGAATCTTTTAAAGCCACAGCATTTTGGTGCGGGTTTATTTAATTAAAACTGGATAACACAAATCTTAACCTGGCACTTGTAAGCTTCACTACATCACAACATGCCAGAGACCCAACCAGTGAAGAAACCGACCAAGTGAACGCACTCTTCTCTCAGAAGACTTGGGACCAGGTAACACATCCAGTGACTGAAAACACCTGTGTCTTTCCAGATTGGAAAAAATTAAGTTTTAATATTTTATATTTTTAAGTAAAAAATAAATATATCAAAGGTATAATATTTCTTCTCAAACTCCACTGGATCCTCTTATCCAGCCTCTGTGGTACACCATCTCACTGTGGAGTTTTAGAAAATGCAGAGCCCTCCACATCAAAACATTCACTAGTTACACAGAAAGTCATGGTGAGCAGATGCTATTGTCTCCTGCAGTGACTCTGTGCCTCTGTAACCCCAGGCTTCATGGCCCCGTCTGACAACCACTGAATAAGCTTCATAGGAAGGAAACTTATTTTAAAAAACAGGCTTTTTTTTTTTTTTTTTATGACCAGGAAACAAAAATAGAAACTAGGTAAATAAAGAGATAATGGAAGTGACAGATATTCCAACCTGTGGATGGGAAATCAAACTCTATTTTATAGTTGTGCTTTGCTCCAGTATGTTCTTCATGAACATCATGTCATGATTTTTCCATCCTGGCTAACTACAGTCACTTTGTTTATATAAAAATGCAGGCTGTTATGCATTATTCTGCTATCTTTTTTTTCAAATAAGAGTAATTCTAATATATATTTTAAATCATCTGACGGGAGAGGAGAGGAAACACTGACAACTTTGGCACAGAATGTTTTCCAGTAGAGTATAAGGATTATGGCATGACTTATTTTTAATATTGAATCATATTAGCATTCTCCAGTTTGGGTTTTATGATCTTTGTAACATAAACATACTGTAATTATTTAAGATTTTTCCCCCAACCTTCTGAGATCCTCTAGCAAAATATTTTTAAAGCACATAAAATTTAAGTCCAAAAATCTAACCTAGTCAAAACTAGACAGCTTTAAAAATTTTATTAAAAATAATATGAAAAGACTAACAGCCAATCTTTGACGAGAACAAAATTCAGTGGACTTAGAAGAGATTTTACAGCCTAGTTAAATATTTACGACTGAGTCTAAAAAATGTCCTTCATGGAACAACACAGCAGAGATGTTGGATATAAAGGTCAGAAGTCTGGATTTGAGAACATATTACAATTGTAACTTTGGATATACTAACTCTTTCAGTAACAATAAGTTTTAGATTGTGAGTAGTAGTTAACAGACAAAAGAGTCTGAGAAAAGTTAATATGGTCAGAAGTAATGTAAACCTTGGGAAGCATATGAAAACTTGAATTTATGCCAGTTCTGTTTTATATGGGTATTAATCTCTAATACCAGAAGACCACAAAATTATCATAGCAAGGTACACTGTGGTACACATTTTTATAACATGTTTACCCAAAATTGCAGAATAGTTGGAAAATCTTTTTTTATACCATGGCACAATCGCACTATTTAGAAATGTACAATGTTTCCAAAATACAAAATACAAAAGTTCTAGAAGATAATACAGTGAGGCCAATTTACCTTTACATTAGACTCTAAGACTTAGTTACTTCTAGACGTCATTTAACCACATTATAAATGTCTGCCTTGAACAGTCAAATTTTCCAAAGAAGCTGAACAACTTTCATGGGTGGGGCAAGAAGCTGAGAAGGAACAGATTCATTTTGGCTTGCTCTGGCGTTGGAAAAATATTTAATACCACACCCTCAACAAAGGCCTAACACTGCGAGGAGTAATGTCAAATCAGCCCATTCTAGCCAACTGTCACAGTCCTCTAAGGAACTAAAATAAGGCGAAATAATAAAGAGTTCAGAAGTTTGGTGGCGGCGGGGCTTGGGGGACCTAAGAGAGGGGAACCATCAAGATAATGTTCCTAATTTTCAATCTTCTAGTCTACCTAGAAGAAAATTTCATTTATCCACCGATAAAGAGTTTAATTTTTACCCGATCAACCTTACATGCCTTAGTTGCTACCATCACTTTTTGGAACAGACCATTAGTCAGCATGAAGGTGAAAATAAGCGCTGTCTCAATCCAGGGGTGGGGGGCAGTGGGATCTTCATGGAGGTGGAAAGAGGAACATCAGCACCAAGCGCTCAGGTGACAGCGGCCCTCTCCCACTCCCTCCGTGCCCTCCGTTCTGCTGCCCCATACCTGGACTTGAGAACGATTAAACACAAGCTGACCTGAGCAAGTCTCCAGGGCTGCTGGGGAGTCGAAGGGCAGGCTCGAGCTAGGAATCCGCGGGTTGGGAGGAGGCCGCGGGGACTCTACATTCACCTCCTGGACGACCCCCGCCCCGGCGCACGCCCACCTCCCAGCCCCTCTCTCCAACTTCAGCCCTCTGCCCTGCGAGTCCGCTCCGCACTCCGCTGCCCTCGCCCCCCGCAGCCGGGCCCGCCTCCCCTCCTCCGGACCCGCTTACCTTTCCATTCTTGGGACTGCCGTTAAGGAACAGGGTCACCCGCCTCATCGCGCTGCCCCCACTGGGTCCTGAGTGAGTCGCCACCCTCCCACCTGGCTCTCCTCTCACCTTCTTCTTCTCCCGCCCTTCCCCTCCCTCCACCCACTCGGAATCTCCTCCCTTCGCCACCTTCCTTCTCTTATAGACACACACGCGCACGCACTCCGGGTCCCACACCCCAGGGTTGGCCGGTCCTCCTGCCCACCCCGCCCCTGGGCTCCTCAGTCAGTCTAAGGCCCTTCCCCCACCTCTCCTAGAGTGACTCTAAGCTTCACCAATCAACCGGCAGCACCGGCTAGAACTCAGCCAATCATCACCCTGCATTGGGTGGGCTCATTCTAACCCCCCACCTCCAGGTGGAGGGAGGGAAGAGAGGCTGCAGTCTGGCGGACGGGAAGGGCTATCAGCCAATCAGAGCAGAAACTAGAGTCCAACGGCAGCTCAAAGCGTTACTGAGCAGGCGCAAACCCAACACCAGGTAGAGCTTATCTGCATACGGAGGCGGGGTTTGAGGAAAGGAGGTGGAGCGCTAGAAGTAATCCACACTGGTCGGCACCTCCCCACTGCAACCTCTCCCACAGCTGAACCCAAAGAGGAAACAGCTACAGTCAGGGCAGGCTGATTGGGTTAGAGCTAGCTCGTCGTTTTGTCAGGATTGGTCCACTGCTTCTTTTCGAAGTTTGCAGCATCCAATCAAAAGACAGGATCTGTTTCAAAGGTCCAACCAAGGGTTCTTCGCGAGACTTTTCACGGAAAGTAGTCCCCGCGGACGCAGTTTAGCAGCTGGTCTCTCTGGTCCTTTTGTCACTTGCAGCTAGCGGTGGCTTCTCTCAGAGCCCACGAAACCACTCCTGTTCCTGGGACCCCGAAGAAGATGCCTGGGAGGGTTCGGGGTGCGCGCGGACACGTGCCGACGGTGGCGGCGTAGACATTCGTAGAGTAACGCCGGAACTCCAAGGAGGCGGGGCTGGAGATTTGAATCCAGCGGCGGGCGGCGGTGGTGCTGAGACCAAGTGTAGGTACCGTGGGCTGCGCGTTGGCGGTGTCGGCAGCCGGGGACAAGGCAGTACCCCGGCGGCTGGCTTGGCAGCCAGCGGTTACTTTCTCGGGCATTCCTTTGAGGACCAAAGAGCCGAGGTCTAGAAGGGAGGACAACCAGGGCACTCATGTGCGGCGGGGCGTTCAAAATAAACCGGAGCGGGACGGAAGAAGCCAAGTGGCGGGAGTGAGAGGGAAAGTGTCCTGGTTTGGATTTCAGGTGTGGTCCAGTAGAGCTGTTTCTTAGGCTTGTTTTTCTGAAGTGTGTTCTATTTATGCTGCCCCATGGAGACAGTGGTTCTACGGCCTGAGCTGGATCACCCATGTGATTTTTAAAATGCAGGTTAGTAGTGGATAGATGGTCACGGGGATGGGGAATGCAATTAGCATTAATATGTTGGCTAGGTGGAGGGCCAGGGGAGAGAGGGAGCAACTGCGGGAATCATTTTATGAACTATATAGATGTCTAACCAATGTACTATATACTTGAAACTAATTAAAATAAATTTGAAAAAATACAGATTACTGGGACCTAGCCAGATCTGAATTAGAATTTCTGGAAATCCACAAGGGCACTCAGATGATTCAGATGTTTGCTAAGGTTGAAAAGCCGTGGCATAGAGTATAGGGTATGCTTTGTTTCATCTGGAACAGCAGTTTACTCCATTTTTCTCCAATTTGGGCTCCAAAAGTGCACTCGACATCTATTTTCATACCAGTATGGACTGTATTAGAATTTAGTCTTGAATGAGGATCTTGATAGAATCACAATCTTAGAGATGGGGTTCCTTTTATTTTTTTCTCTCTCTTCTCTCTTTTTTAGATGGATACCAATTCAAAAGACAGCGAGCCCCCTGAAACCAAGGAATCTGCTGTTAAAAATGCTGGTTTGTAGTGGTCTGTTGTCCCCTTGTGAAATTTAAGGTTTAGGTATTTGGCTTGATAATGATGCTCAGCGCCCCCAACATATCTTTCAGAAAATGCCACTTTCATTTTGGGCAATGAAACTCCTCAGAATCATGTAGCTGAAGCGACTCCTAATCCTTGCACACCAGATACTTTTAAATTGCCTTCGAACTTTTCCACAGTAACTGCAGAGCAGTTGAGAACGAAAACTGAAAGCTCTGTAAAGAACTCTTCAGGTAAGAGAAATCTTTCTATCGCAGTACACTTAAAATTTAAAAATAACTTTAATATAGCTCAATTTCGTTCATCTACCCAGTCTTTCTTATTACTCTACATACCTAAATTAATTGACTGTGCAAACTTACTTGATCAGGGAGACTTATGTGAACACGCACTGTTCATCTAGCATAGCAGGAGACCATGGTCCCAGAACACCTAGCCTAATAATGTTCCTAAGTCTGAGTTGTGCTTTGTCTCCAAACTGGAAAAGAATATGTATGTAAATCACTTTTTGACCTGACCTGTGGGATACAGAAATGTGTGGACTATAAATAATAAAACATTTTATGGTCACATATGGCAATGAGAGAGAGAGTTGAAGAGTAGTTAAGAAAGTAGTACATTAAAGGGTTGGGGTGTGTCTCTTTCAAATCACAAACAGAAAATTGGCTTGTGCTAATCTCTTTCATGGAGTAGAAATGAAGTACACTTGTAAGGTCTGACAACTGGAGAAGAAATATAGGAGGAATTAGATTTGAGAATAGCATTTAGAAATGGAGGTAATGGGGAACATGAAAATCAAAGGGTACTCGGCTAAGTAATTCATGATTAAGACAGGACCAAGGTGGCATGCCGCCATTCTACATTCCCTTCTCAAGAACATCATTCTTAGACCTTTACAAATCTAGATCTATTTTGCATGCTTAGTCATACGGCTAGAACTCAGAGTAGTATGCCAAAGGTAGATAGGTATCTAAGAGAAACAACTCTTGAAAAATTGAGAACATGAGAGTACATGTGTCTAGGTTGAGATCTTTCCTTTATGTCCGTGGAGATAAGGCTGGCTAATTCAGAAAAAGAGAAGTTCTTAGTCCAAAGCAAGCCATTACCCACCTCTGTGTGCAGAAAATATAAAACAAAAATGAGAACTATTATTAATACAAGCGTGTTCATGCATTCATTCCACGCAACTATATTTAATACCTTCTGTGCACCAGGTACTGTTCCAGGAATATGGAATAAATCAATTGACAGAACAAAGATTCCAATCCAACTGATCATGTATGAACAATTTTGCCTATAATTCTCTATTTAGATATCTGTACCACGTGTTTATCATGTTCCTTCTCAGGCTGGTACATCACAGATATTCAGGACATGATTACTAATGATTGCCTTATTTTGTTCCAATTTAAAAGAGAGTTTTCATTATAGGAAAGTTATCATCCTACCTTAAAAAGTCCAGACACGACGCTCTACAGTTGGTCTTCGGGGCTCTCCTGAAACAAACAGTCTTATTCGTTTCATTGCCCAACGACAGAATTTGAAGAATGTAGAGAAGTCTCCTTTGACACAGAATTCTGCTTTTCTGGTATGATTTTCTCTAACTTCTGTCATGAATTCTTCTAGGGAGAATGTTTCACTGTGTTATAATACTTTAATCAGTGTTTATACCTCCCAGTGCATCTCATCTGTTTTGGATCTGGAGAGACGTTATTTCCTCTTGTGTCTTACAAAGAGTGTGCAGTTAGCATAAACAGTGATGTTAAGCATGGATATGTCAAGAGTTATGAAATCCTGGATAGAAACAGCTTTCTAAAGGAGAGTCCTATTTTATTTTGCAATTTTTTTTAAGTTAATATTTGTTTCTTATAATGAGATGAGGCAGTGTTTTCCAACCTTTTTTCTTTTAATATCTCTTAAGTGTCTAATTTTTTATGACGACTATATGTTAGCACATAACGGCAAGAGTTCCCCCAGAACAAATGTATTTGGGATAACCTTGCGAGAGGAAGCAAATTATTTGTCTGCTGATGGGGAAGTATTTAGATAGTTTTGCAGATTTTTTATTACAATAATACTTGCTTCTAAAAACTCAAATAGTAGTACAAGGTTTGCTATGAAAGATACAGTCCCAGCTTATCCTTTTTGAAGGATATCTGCTTTCGACTGTTCCTATTTTAAAATGTACTTACATTGCCACTTCATTTTTCCGTTTTAGACACTCTGTATGCTTGAGGCTGTATAGTGCAATGCAGTAGTTCTCAAAGGCTATCTGCAGATCCGTGGGGATCCCTGAGTTGCATTCGAGAGGTCCATGAGGTCAAAACTATTCTTTGTGATAGCATCAAGATGTCATTTACCTTTTTTTTTTTTTTAACTGCATTGATCTTGCATTCATGGTGCAAAAGCAATGGTGGATGAAACTGGATGCTGTCATTTTATTCATCATCGCTAAGCATTCACAGGAAATAATGATAATGCCAGTTTCACTTAACGTCCTCGATGGGGCAATAAAAATTGTAAATTGTACTAATGCTCAACCCTTGAGTATGACATGTGCTGAAATGGACCGTATGCATTAGGTGCTTCTAAAGTACATACAGAATCGCAGTGGATGTTACAAGAAAAATCATTTATGTGATTGAGCTGTGAGCTGAACTAGCCACGTTTTTATGGAACATTATTTTTACATGAAAGAATGACAGACATCATGGTTAGTCAGACTTGCGAAGTGGCTGACATTTTCTCAAAAATGAACCTGCCAGGTAGGAAAAAATGAAATATTTCTTACCAATGAAGAAATTAGAATTTTCAGGTGAAAGCTAGAATTTTGGAAAACTTGTATTCACCACCATGAACTCTATAACTTCCAAGTAGCTGAACATTCCTGATATATAAGTGGGAGTATTAATGAATGTGATGTTTTGATATTGCATAATAAAATGTATCAACGTTTGGAAGATGTGCATAACTGAGTGAACTCATATTTTTCATATAACCAGTGCATGTAAAATAAACCCTCAAATTGCAAGGTAGATTCATGAATTTTAACATAAGAAAGGTTCATTGATAAGATTTCGTATTTGACATTGCAACCTAACCTTTAAGAAATGTTTGTTGAGTTTTGTGTTGCATTGAAGAATATCCACAGTCTGAAAAGGCTATTAAAATACTCTTGATAGATACAACCAACATGAACTAAGAGTCTTTGGTGTTCTCGGTTTTTAAGAGTATAAAAAATTCTGAGAACTGCTGTTATAATAGATACAAGAATGGATTGACGAGCTGTATTGCTCAGATATGATTCTTGACTTTATTATTTAATTGTGACTTTTAGCAACTTAGTCTCAGTTTCCTCATGTATCAATTGGGGGTGATAAAAATAGCAAGGGTTTCATGAGGATGAATAAATTAATAGATATGAAGTACTTACAAGTGTGCCTAGAATATAGTATGTTTTAGATTTACTATCATTGTTATTTCTGTGAAAAATGAGGATTTTGCTCTCATATCTCCTAGTCATGGCTTTCCCAACACTTTCCTTTTTCCTATTCTTTTTAATATAATCAATTACAATTTTTGTTTAAGTTTAGCATGCATATTTAACCTTGTAGATAGTTTTTAAAAACTGCTGTATAGTATGTCATGGTCATATTTCCTTTCTTATACACTTTTGTTTTTCCTATAATGATTAAATACTTTTTTTGGTTTAGCCTTTTATTTTATCATATAATCTCATCCCCAAACTTTGACAGAGTTTTAAACCTCAAGAGTCTCTATCGATTCTTTTTTCTTGGTGTCCTTCGTCTTCTTCCTCCTGTTGGCTAGATTGCCACTACATTTGTTGGATAGCTGTCATTTTGTGGCACCCTTTCACCATCCTTGATAATTCTCTTTTACTCATCGATTTGGTTTCTATTTCCTTGATCTCTTATCTTTCTCGTTTCTTGGTTTACTGCCTCGTTTTTCTGGAGCTTCTGTGTATCTGTTGAAGTTTATTGTACCAGCACATTTGAATTATGGAATGTCTTAGTATCGAAATCTCCATTGTATTTTAGCTTACAGAGCTGAAGAATCCTATTCATTTATTCAATCAACACATTTAGATTCCCTATCCTTTATGGGGTCTGCTTTTTCAAAAAATTAAAATATTGTTAAAATACAATATTATATTACTTTAAGTTTACAACCTAGTTACTTAACAAAGTGATCAGCACAATGTCTAGCGTCTGACACCATATGAAGTTATTAGAGTATTATTGATTATTTCCCCTATTCTGTACATTACATCCCTGTGATGTATTTAATTTATAACTAGAAATTTGGACCTCTTACCTCTCCTTCACCTTTTTTGCCATACCTCCAGCCCGCTTCTCCTAATCCTTTTGCCTTTTGGCAACCATCAGTTTGATCTCTATGAGTTTGTTTTTGTTTTATTTTGTTTCTTCGTTTGCTTTGTTTTTTAGATTCCACATATAAGTGAAACTATAACAATGTTTGTTCTCCGCTTATTTCACTTAACATAATAATCTCTAAGTCAATCCATGTTGTCCCAAATGGCAAGATTTTATTCTTTTCTAATATTCCACCTTGAGTGCGTGCGTGTGTGTAGGTTGCTTCCATATCGTGGCTATTGTAAGTAATGCTGTAATGAATATCGGGTATACATCTTTTCAAATTAGTGTTTTTGTTTTCTTTGGATAGATACCTAAAAGTGGAATTGCTGGGTCATATAGTGGTTCTATTTTTAAATTTTTGAGGGAACTCCATAGTGTTTCCATGGTGGCTGCACCAATTTGCCATCCCACCAACAGTGCATGATGGTTCCCTGTTCTCCACACCCTCACCAACACTTGTTATTTGTTGTCTTTTTGGTAATAGACAGTCTTACAGGGGTGAGGCGATATCTCATCGTGGTTTTGATTTGCATTTCCCTGACAATTAGTGATGTCGAACACCTTTTCATGTATCAGTTGGCTATCTGTTTGTCTTCTTGGAAAAATGTCTATTGAGGTCTTCTGCCTTTTTTTTAGTTGTATTGTTTGGTTTTCTTTTACAATTGAGTTGTATGAGTTCTTTATATAGTTTGGATATTAACCCCTTACCAGATATAATATTCACAAATATTTTCTCCCATTCGGTAGGTTGCCTTTACATGCGTTGTCGGTTTTCTTTGCTGTGTGGAAGCCTTTTAGTATGATGTAGTCCCATTTGTTTATTTTTGCTTTTATTACCTTTGCTTTGGTATCAAATCAAAAAGGTCAACCAAGACTATTGTCAAGGAGCTTACCACCTATATTTTCTTCTGGCTTCTTGAGTTCATGTGTTAAGGTTCAAGTCTTTAATCCATTTTGAGTTAATTTTTGTGTGTGGTGGAAGGTAGTGGTCTAATTCCATTCTTTTGTATGTGGCTGTCCAGTTTTCCCAACACCATTTATTGAAGAGACTGTCCTTTCTCCTTTATAAGTTCTTGGCTCTGTTGTCATAAATTGATTGACCATGTATATATGGGTTTATTTCTGGGCTCTCTATTCTTGTTTCTTCATCTTTGTGCCTGTTTTTATGCCATTACCATACTGTTTTGATTACTATAGCCTTATAATATAGTTCAGAATTGAGGAGTGTGATGCCTCTGGCTTTGTTCTTTCTCAGGATTACTTTGGCTATTTGGGATCTTTTGTAGTTGCATATAAATTTTAGTGTTGTCCTATTTCTGTAGTAAAAGCCATTGGAATTTTGGTAGAGATTGCGTTGAATCTATAGATTGCTTTGGTTAGTATGGACATTTTAGTAATATTTTTCCAAACCCTGAGCATACCTGAATAGGGAAAACTAGCCTACTTCTTTCTCATACCTAATATCATTCAATAAGAAATACCTATGTGTACAACTTCTCAATAGATTGGTTACATCAGTATTCACATGCTTACGTTATTACGACCATGTATGTTATTCTGAGCTGATCTTGCTTCTGCAATTATCTTATGTTCCTTTTGAGTCATTTTCTATTAGTACAGACGAATTGTATGACTTTGGGATAACCCTTTTCTTTCTCCATATTTCATGTGGATAAGAGTTGATCGCCAGCTTGTAATGAATGTTATGTGTTGTTTATGTCATAAAGGTTTACATCATCAACCATATTTGAATTTAAAATGTTCTGTTATTATGTAACAGACTTTGCTTTGCTTTATGAATGTATTTAACTGGGAATAGATTGTGTGTAAGCAGATTCACCATCAAGCATGGCTTCAAGATTTTAACTGATTTTCCCCCATTCAGTATCTTAAAGGGAGGTAATTTTTTGCTTTAACTTTTGCTTGTTGGTGTAATTTTGTTAATTGCAAGGTAGAAATCACTGGAAATATGTTAGTCTAAATAATGAAGGGGAAAAAAGATCCTGGATAGAGAACTTAATCACTAATTTTCTTTTTTTATGGGTAAACAGAACTCTTGAATTGTATATTATTTCTATAATTCTGGCGCTTCCATCCCCGCTTGTATCAGTTTCATTTTGTGAATCTTTTGCTGAAACCCTTTTAGCAGAGTTTGTAGAGAGCTCCTGTGCTTAGATCGTCTAACTGTTTGGCTTTGTATTTTAAGTGAATGGCTGGCTTTCAGCTCTTAAGGTTGTAGGGTCCCATAAAATGGGGAAAATTTAGCTGGAGAGAGCTAAAGAGAAGACGGTAAATGTGAGAGTGGGTGTCTGAGCCACTAGGGAACGTCCGTGACTTGTTCTTGCCTCCTAGGGAGAGGGTATGTATGGATGGGGATGAAATGAGACTAGTTTGAGTTTTACTAGGTACCTTGAGACTTACATGTACCAAAGGCATCATGCAGATAATTTTTAGTGGATATTTTTAGCAGAACTTTCACATTTGATTCACTGAGGCTGTCTCAGGTTGTGAACTCTAAGTTATGAAAGAGAGCCCTTAAGCCCCTCAGAAAGAATCCTTTTAAGAGTTTTTAGGCCCCAAATAATTGGTTATGTGTTTGTCTCGGTGCCTTTTTAAAGGTCCAGACTTCACTCGTCTCCTCCGTGGACTAATTGCTATGAGTATTGAGCAACCCATACACGTGTGTACATACCACACAACTATTCCTGTTTGCTCAGGTTTTGCTAAAAACCGGGGGAGGAGCAGAGGGAGACTTAAGATGATGGCAGCACACCAGATATTCAAACTGAAAATATATGATCTCAGGGAGAAGAGGCTCTGCTATACTAATTTATTACCTCTGGTCTTCTAGAAGCCTTTGTTTATTTAGTTTTGGATTCAATGGTTATAGGCCTAGAATAAAGAAACTTTGATTTGATTTATACTGCCATCTATGTTTCTGTCTTTTTAACAGGGCAGTCGTGTATTGTATCGAAATGTTAATTCTTTAAAAGAAAGAATGTCTGCCTTCCAGTTGGCTTTTCACTCCCTAAACGAAGAGGAGAAAATGACTGGCCGTCCTGGATTCTCAGAGGCAGCAGAGAAGTTGGAGACGACAGGCTTGAGTAAGTAGAAAGAATTCAATCTGGATTTCTGAATCTATTCAGACAAGGCTCCGAGATATAAAAAAGACTTAGTTTCACAGTGCAAAAGCAGCCTTTCTGAGCAGAATTGTATTTTTAAATGGAGCCTAGCATTTAAAATTTGGGACATTTTACACAAAAACCTGGATTTCTGGTTTCTCTTGGGAAAAAAAAAAAAACCAGTATCAAGCATTCCTAAGCCATTTCCACATGGCCACAGTTAACTGTAAAAATATCAGAGCCGATTAGCTAATTTCATCTTTAGATAGGCCATGTGGCAAATTTAAGTGTACAAACCTCGATTTTTAGAGAATCGTTATTAAGTTTGGCAAGCATTTATATGAATACCAAACACCCACCCCAATGTAGTAAACTAATCTGACATCTTAGTAGCCTGCCATATTCTTTGCCATAACTTTTAGATTACTAATTCATTTGGTTGTTTTTTTTCTGTCACCTTCGATTTTCCAATCATAAAGCATTTCAAACATCAGAATTAGATAAATCTTGGCCTACCGTAATCATCATAATCATACCTCTGGTGCTTGGCACCCTAAGCAAGGTTCGAAATGATTTTATTTTGGCGTCTTGAATCAAGCACATTTCAACACTTCCTTGTGTGAAGTACACTGCTGCTCAAGACAAGTCTAATTCACCTACCTCACTATTGCACTCATTCGCATTTGTAGTTTGTAACTTACCTATTCAATTTTTACTTGGGTTTTAAAATATTTTAATGACATGATTATTATAATTCTGTAGACACTAAAATTCTTTTTGATTGCTAGGAATAACTAGGGCACCTTGCGGCTGTATTTTTCATAAAATACACGATCAAAGCAGAACCAATTTTAGAACATAACCATATCCTTTAAAATATTCATAAGAATAAGTTTCAATGGAAATTTAAAAATAGAATGAGATACTAACTATATCACTGATACAAATGTTTATCTGTACATTTTTAAGTCTGAAAGAAATTCTAATTTGTATTATCTTTTTAGTTTTCGTGTCCTCTTGCTTTTCCATTAGATTTCTTTTTTTTGAATTAAAAAATATACTATGTTTTTCTTTATATTGCTGAAGTATTTAGACTCAAGTGTTAAATTTTACTAAAATTACGATGATGTACAAAATCATAAGATGATATTGAGGAAGAAAATATTTATTACTTTGTTTTGTGTGTATAGGCAAAAATGAAAGTCTTGGTGAATGTCAGCAGTCTGAGTTCCCTGCACAGTTATCCAAACCTCAGGGAACGACTTCACGGAGCAACTCTGATGAAAATCCAGCTAATGCAATTGATCTCCAGATAGTCAATATCGATGCTCTTCCCAATACAGACAGAACATGTGCTGTTGCTCCTTCTCTTGCAGATCTTTGTGAGGTAATTCACTTACTGGAAACATAAGAAAATGCTTAGGTTTCCTGGTGAGGCAGTTTTAAGACTGTCAAGATCCTTTTTTCAGTTATAGTACCTCATATTGCTATATTGTAGCTGGATTTTAAATTGTGTATGTGTGTTTCCAACTTATTAATTTTTGTTGGTTGGCATATTGGTTATTAGACAGTTTTGATTAATATGTTGCTTTTGATCATGAAAAAGATTTTATGAAAAGAGTAAGCTCTATGGTCTGCTTGTGAGATATTGCTCCAGATGCTGATGGTAAAATAGACAGTCACATTCCTGATTTGAGCAGCTTTCTGTCTGTTGAAGGAGGCAGATACATGAGTGTGTTATTTACACATAACTGGTAAATCAGATGAAGATTGTATACAGCTGTACTCCTCAGGCTTCGCACTTCTGCCTTGCCACCCCAGCTGGTTTAATCCTGGCTAGAAAGCAGGGTGCTATTTACCAATTGCTCCTTTGCTCTGCTCACTTCTTCCAGGTAACTAGGAATATTTGTTGCTGGTAACTCTAAAGCCTGTCAAGATTATCAAAAGACCAAAATGAATTAAATAATACTAATGAAAGCCTTGACCTTCACTCAATTGTAAACGAAGCTGGTTCCTGCATGACTGGCTCTTCTTGCTTTATATTGTTAGTTTTGGTTTGACGGAGCAGGTCCCCATTTCTTTAGTGAGAGGACACCTAAGGCCATTAGATTTGAAACTTTTTTTTTTTTCATCTTCTCTGTCATGGATTCAGTAGTCTTAATAATCTTATTTGAACTGGTATAAATGTTTGATATTCATTAAAGATTCTTCAGGGCCCATTAGTGAGTTTTCTGTTCTAGCCACGAATGGTTTTCCTGTCCTAGCTCTTGATATCTTTTGTTGTTTGACTAGTAATGATATATGTTCTGTTATTTTGAGCATTTCCTCTTTAATGAATGCAGTTAACATAGTTTCTAGCCATCAAACAAGGCAACAAAATGTGTGCAATAAACTTTTCCTAGGGAACTGAAAATTTGTAGGATGTTTAGGATGGATGCAGTTAGAATGAATATTCTGTTTTTAGTTACATTCCCATGTATTTTTGTGCCAACTAGATAACGAAGGTGATTGCTTAATTGATCAATTGATTAATTGATTTTTTTAACATTAGATTTCCAGACATCCGTAAAGCTTACTAAAATCTTTATAAAGATATCAGTAATCCTATAAGTAATAAGATTTAATACTTCTTTACTCTAAATTTTTTTTCCCCAAGGAATCTTCTGAATCTGATTTAAAGCAGTCTGGATATTTAGTTGAAGAGTCTGTTCCACTTTCAGAGCTCACAGAGGCTTCAAGTGGTATGTATTCAATTTTTCCTTAGTTCATGTGGCATTTCACCCATTGAAACATTTGTTCGGTAGAAGTTTATGGTTGGTGTACCTATATGCTAAAATTTGGGAACACTGGAACAGTTCCTTATGTTTTGGGAGCTCATGATCTTGTAGAAATGTTTCAGAATTCTTATTATATGAGAGGATACATTGTCTTTTCACTGCTATCAATAAGAATCAGTGAAGTATTTTTAAACTCATAGAATGTATTTTAAAGAATAGGATCTCTGAACATAAGAACAAGTTATTTTGCTAGAGAAGACACTACACTTGATTTTTTGTTTGTTTGTTTTTTAAGTGTCTGAAAAGGCACCAACATTCAAAACTTAGCTTTCCCCCAAATCAGTATGTTGTACTGATTGAAAGTCACCAGTAAGGTATTAGGTTTACTTTCAACCTACCTGTGTTTATTGTTAAAGAAAAACTCTCGTAGACTTATAATTGGGTCTTTTTTTAATCCATCTGAGATTCTCTGCCTTCTAATTGGAGTATCTGACTCATTAACCTTTCAAGTCATTATTGGTATGGTCTGATATAAATCTACCATTTTATCATGTTTTCTGTTCTCTTTTTTTTCCCCTGTGTTTCCTTCTTCTTGTCTTTTTTGGGTTTATTTGAAAAAAAAATTTTTTTTTAAATCTTTTCCATTACCTTTTAAATTATATTTCATTGCATTTTTTTAATGGTTACTCTAAGAATTGTGACATATGTCCTTAACTTTTCACAGCATACTTATTTAATATTATATAACTTCATGTAAAACATAGAAGCTCTACAAACTGCAGAGATCTATTTTTTATCCACTCACTCAGGTCCTTTCTAGTATGCATGTTATCTATATCACATTTATATTAATTTTAAACTGCACAAGGTACTTTTTTTTTTTTTTTTTTTTGCTTTAAACAATATGTGTATTTGAGAGGACATAGTTTTTATAGTTACCCAGATAGATACCATTTCTGATGCTCTTCATTTCTTCCAGAAGGTCTAAATTTCCCTCTGGTATCATTTCTCCAACCTGAAAAAGAACCTTTTTTAGCATTTTATATAGCGCACATCTTCTCTGACGTCTTAATTTCATTCATACAATGGATGGATAATGCATAGAGCTGGGTTCTGAGTTTGTTACCTAGGTGAAATAAGATGCTTTTACCTTTAGCGTTTCTTACCAGACTTCTTTCTCTATTTTCATGGACTTATCTTAGGAGTGACATTTTCTTTGACAGTAGTTACAGAATGAGTGAAATGTGATCATTAAGAAACTGTCACCGTACCAAACACCTCCCTGTACAATCTGCCTTAAATGGGAACATCACAAGAGCTAGCATATCCCATTTTAACACCTCGCTAGCCCTGAACAGAAACAATGTATGAAATGGAAAGACAAATCCACCATAGGTGATGAAGCCTTGATTAAAGTGCCAATTCCAGTGTTTTAAACTGGTTATATGGTGGCACCCCAGGGGTTATTATATTTCAGACAGTGCAGCTTTAAGAAGAGTGAAAAGATCTTGTAAAGAGGGATGGAATACACTTAGTTAAGGGCAAGTTTGAGTGTAGAGAGCCCACACGATACCTCTGTTATCTCCCTTGCCCCGTCCACCTCGTCCGTTTTACCTATCTAACCAGAAACCCAGCCTGGTGAATCTCTCTCCCTTCTCTGTTCCTGCCCCAGATACGTCTGTGCTTAATGTTTTGTATGTCGATATCCTCACCAAGTTTTTCACCTCACATGGGCCCTCACCACTGCTTGGCAGGATACTTGCCTCCATTCCTTAATCAGTTTTCTTTCTCACACCTCTTTTCCATCAAGCTTCCAACCCTCCTTATAAACAACAAATTTGTTATTATAAACAAATAATTCTTTAGTATATGTATGTCCCATGGATTGTTTTTCTTTTATATCAATGTGCACGTACGTAAGTACTGAGATATAATTAAAGTTTAACTAGGTCTACTGCATATTTACTTTGCAAGATCTGGCAACCCTACTCATGGATGTCGATAGAATGTCCTCTGGTGCCACTTGCAGAACCTTGCTGTTTCTATCACGGAGAAAATGAAAGATGTCAGAAGCAAATGTCCTGGTCCTCTCGCCACTAACCCCCCTGCCTCTGTGCAGGTGTGTTCCACCTTCCCCTCCTGTCACGGTGGATCCTCAGGGCGCCTATCTAAGGTCAGCCCCTTCAGTGTGGCCTTTCCCTTTACAAGGACCTTTTGTTTGAGGTGTCCTCTCTTTTCTGAATTGTTCATTTTCCCCATTAACATTCAATGAGCTATAATATCTCCCATCTTAGACTTGCCCTTGTCCCAGGATTTCTTTCCAGCCAGAATTCCATTTCTTTCTTCTGTACCAAAACTCCCTTTAAGGGCAGCCTCCTTGCCTCCCATTCTTTCTTGATCCTACTCCAGATAGGACTTCGTAACCAACAGCCCCCTCCTTGCCATCCCATTGTCATTCTCAGTATATTCCTCTCCCAGAGGTCTCAGAAGCTTTACAGATAGAGCTGACCACGCTCTCCTGTGAACAATGGTTCCTTCACTGGACATCAGGACATAATTCTCTCTTGTTTTCTCTGATTTCACTGACCATTTCTTCTGTGTATTTTCCTTGTTCCTCCTCTTCCATCCTGACATTTAGATGTTTGAATGCTCCGGGTCCAATGCTTGGACTTTTTTCCTTCTACACAAACTCCCTAGGCGATTCTCACCATCTATAAGCTGTTGACTTCAAATTTAAATATCCGGCCTTGACCTCTTCCCAAAACTCTAAACTTAAGTGCCCACCTGCCTTTACTCATCTCCACATGGATGACTAATATATTCTCAGACATAACATACTCAAACAGGTCTTAATAATTTTTTCTTCCCCAGTCTGCTCATCTCTATTTTCTTCATCTCAGTAAGCGACTCTACCACTCTCCCAGCTGCTTGTGCCAAAAACCTTGGAGTTATCTTGACACCTCCCTTTTTTCAGTTCAACTTACAATCCCGTTAATAAACGCTGCTGGCCTTCACCACATCGCCCCTCCTCCTAACTGCTGTCACCTGGGTCCAGGCTACCATCTCCTCTTGCCTGGTTTATTTTGTGTGTCCTTTTAAGTGCTTTCCTTCTTTCTACCCTTGTCCCCACTCTTTTCTTACAGTCTTTTTTCTGCACGGTGGTCAGGGTGCTCCTTTTAAAATGCAAGTCCCGCTGTCATTCTTTTTCTTAAAACCTTTCATTGTCTTCCCAATGTACTTAGAATAGTATCCAGTACCCTTTCCACTAGGCCTCACCTGACCGGGTCCTTAGCCTTCTCCTCGAGCTTTTTCAGTCTGTCCTCTTCACACTGGCCTTGCCTGCCTCTAACATGCCAGGTGCGTTCCTATGTCAGGTCTTCGCACTTGGCTTCGTGCATATAATGTTCTTCCTAGATCTGTGTATGGCTCACTTCCTCATTTTATTCAGGTGCGCCTGCTCATGCTCAGGAAGCTGTCCCTGAACACCCCAAAACAGCAACACCCACCTCCTACCTTATCAGACCGTGTCCCAGTATCTCTACATTATTTTCCTTAATGGCATATATTACTACATGTTGTTATATATACATATCTTTAACTTTTTATTTTGAGATGACTGTAGATTCATATGCATTTGTAAGAAATAATCTAAAGAGATCCAGTATACCTGTCCTCCAGCTCCCCTCCAGGAGCAACATCTTGCATCGCTATAATACAGTGTCACATCCAGGAAATTGACACTGATACAATCCACTGTCCTTTTTTTTCATTTTTCGCCAGTTTTACACACACTCACTTATGTGTATATTCAGTTTCCTGTAATTTTATCACATAGGTGGGCTCACATCACCACACTATAGTCAAGATATAGAACTGTTTGTCACAGGATCCCTCGTGCTGTCCTTTGACGGGCATGGCTACCTCCTCCTCTCCACTCCTCCCAGTTATTTTATTTCATATTGTCTGTCTGTCCCCTGAACGTATGGGGGCTGTGCATGTTTTGTTCATCGTTGTATCTCTCTACAAGAGCACCTATCACATCATCAGTACGTAATATACGTTTGTTAATTGTTGATCATAAGGCAGTAGTCTTTTGTGAGAAAATTTGTGGGGAGAGCCTTGCCTTGTTTAGGGGGCACATATGGTTATGTTAATTTTCTGATTTGATAATCTCCCTCCGATCTCCCTTACATACGAAAATGCCTCTGACTCCAGCAGTAAAATTGCTCAGTTATTCATTGTTCGTCTCAGGTTAGTTTTATTGTACAAGTCATAGGTGTCATGAGTAGAGGCAGATGAACAGTTAGTAGCTGATTCATGGGCATCTGCTCAGACTTCCATGGCAGCCCAAACTCCCCATTACTGTTACTCTCAGTAGTTAGATTTGAATGGAAATCTGTGACCGGTGCCACTTGTCTGTCTTCTTTTTGTTTGCAAATAAAATCCCAGATGCTACTCCCTTAGGATATATTAGGGTTGAATTTCTTCATAGTGTATTCCCTTTGCAAATACATAACATTTTTGGTGTAGAACAAACTGACTCAGATGTCTTCTACCTCCCATGTTTACGCGTTTAATTTGAAGGAATGCAAGTTGCCGACCGCATAGAGGGCAGAGGACCAGCTGATGCCGTTTCACCTGACGACTGTCCAGCAGTGAGCACAGGCACAGCTCCTGGGCTCAGGTCGCCAGTTACCCCACTGAGCGAGAGGGACACACCAGCCATAGCACTTCGATCTGTGCTGAAGAAACCGTCTGTCAAGCTGTGTCTGGAAAGCCTACAGGTAAGTGTAGAGGTACATTTCCTAAAGCAAATTGAATAAAAAGATCATTTTGGTTCAAAGCAGATATTTATTCAGCATGTTAAATATCATGCTGGTTTGAAAGGAAATGTCTTACCCTATTTTTTCCCCTCCTTTTTTCCCACTTACAGCACTGTCTAGAGTTTCTTTTTCTTCTTTAATTGTCGTTAATTCAGATTATAATATAGCATGTAGAATTTCATATAGGTTGACTGTTTTTATGAGTGTCATAGTTCTTAATGTGTGAGTCCGTTAGTTATTTCCACCCAAAATATTTGGTCTCAGATACCTCTTTTACAGGAATACATCTTTCTCTAAGCTCGGAAGAGATTTATGGGAACTAGCTGGCATTTATTGAATACTTTCTATGGCCTTTGGACATGTATTATGAACATAAAGAAAAGTATTAGCCCCGTTTTCTACAAGTTTAGGTTTGAGGTTGTCAAATAAACCCAGAACAACCTGATGTTAAAATCCAATAAAATCCAAGATGGGCTGTAAGTGCTATGAAAGTTTGAGAGGGCGGGCTCTGGAGTCAGAGTGCCCAGTTTCAAATCCTGACCCTGAGGTTTAAGAGCTGGGCAAATGAGTTAACCTTTTTTAATCCTGGTTTTCTTATCTATAAAGGACAATATTAGTAGCTACAGGATAATTTAAGCCTTAAGTGGGATAATAATGTGAATTTAGCACTACTGCCTGGCAAATGAAAACTAATTTTTTTTCAATCCATAAGCTTTTAAATTTAGCACTACTGCCTGGCAAATGAAAACTAATTTTTTTCAATCCATAAGCTTTTAAATACAACTATGCCTAATCTGTTTCTAAAGCTAAAATGAACTAAACTACCTTCTATCTACACGGATATATGTGCAAATGTTATTTTAAATATTTTAACAATTTTTCTGGCTCTAAAGAGCTGATTTAGATCTTTATACAGCACTGCTCATTCAACTCTTCTGTTTGTTTGATCTTCTCAAGAGGACTTAGTAACAGTATTACATAGCAAACATCGAGTCCTGCCACTGAGATCATATGAAGACTTTTACAACTGATGATCTTTTTACTAAGCTTCCCAAAGTTTGGAGGTGTCTACAGTTGGAGTTGTTAACTTTCATGGTCGTTTTAATTAAAAATAAATCTAAAAGTTAACATGAACTTTGTTTTATAAGTTCATTTATTTCACAAATATTGAAATGGGCATTTTCCTAGTCAGGAGAATGAAACTGACTCAGGAGATAGTTGATTGGGGAGATAGTTTGGGGCAGGACTGTTTCTTAGAGATGGTGCTGCTCTTGGAATGGATGTACTGGAGGAAAAGAGTAGCTGTCGAGATCAGTGGCTGGGCAGGTGTTAGAACGAGACTGGACAAGCAGATGGTGAGTTGGAGGTGATGCTCATCCAGCCTGCAGCCCTGGTCCTGCTCCGCCCCAGTGGCCCTGTGGTTAAGCTTGCCCTGTCCTGTTCTAAGGAGTTCACACTGTCTCATCCTCACCAACTCGCCTATTCTGTAATCTTTTGGAGAAGCACAAAGTGACAAATACTACCCTCTTCCCTTATTTCTAACTCAAGAATATAGTAACATAGACAAGAGATTTTTACACTTATAAAAGCTATAGTTCCTAAACATCCTATTATACCATTTACTTCTTTGTTTTTTTCTTGTTTTAGTGCAATTCTTATACCGCAGACCATTTATGTAGTGTACCTCATCTGACACCATGTACAGTACACTGTCATTTTAGCTAGTCACAGTATACTTCATTTGCCACATCAAAAATGAGGGAATGACTTAACCCACATTATGAATTTCTGTTCTTTAATTTTGGCCTAAAATACTGTTTACTAAAGTAATATCTAGGAGACCCATCTCTTCTTTGTGGCTAATGCCATGGTGTTTTAGCCAGAACAATTATGAAAGAAAAGGTAATTTGCAGTACCATAGTTTTTACCCTTGGCAGCAAAAGATTCAGTTGTCATTCTTAATGACTCTGTACATGTTTATATATGTAAAATTATTCACCGAAGTTTATTTTATTTAGGAACACTGTGACAACCTCTGCGATAATGGGACTCATCCAAGCTTAATCTCAAACCTTACAAACTGTTGCAGAGAACAAAAAGCAGGTTAGAAATTCATATTTATTTTGAAGCCTGGGGATATCATTGTCTTGTTTTAAAAAATCTGATATAGTATGTGGTATTTTCAGTGATCTGCTAATGTCTCGATGCTTCTGAAATTGCATTGGAATGAAGAATAGTTGGGAAGGATGGAATTTCTTTGGAGGGTCTCAGAGTGGTCTGCCCATTTCATCCATTTTTGCTTAATGGTGAAACTTGTAAAGGACGTTGATATTCCAATCTTGTAAACTTCTAAGATGCTCATGCAAAATTTACTTTAAAATCTATTACCATATCTTAATTGGAAATACTGCTTATCTCTTTCATTTTGAATTTTTTTCTCTACGAACTTTTATACCAATGATAGCTGAATCTAATTATGTTAAAAGATGATAAACATGCCTTTTAGATAAGAAATTTAGCTTAATTTTTAATATATTTCTGTTTATAATCTCTAGAAGGTCAAGAAAATTATAAAGTTCCAATCTTTATTAATATGAAGAAGAGGAAGAGAGTTACTTTTGGGGAGGACCTAAGCCCTGAAGTGTTTGATGAATCTTTGCCAGCAAATACTCCACTACGTAAAGGAGAAACACCTGTTCGCAAAAAGGATTTGAGTGGCGCCAGTCCCCTGCTATTTGAACAGTCACCAGTCTCTGAACCATTACCTCAGCCAAATTTTGATGACAAGGGGGAGAATCTTGTAAGTGTGAAAAATTTAGAACAAACTTGTTTATATTTTAATCATCTATTTTATGTGAGCAATAATTATGCTTTGAAATCATGAAATGGCCTAAACGATGTATCGTGGTTTAAATGAATGCATTTTCCTAGGTAGGTTATTACCAGTTTTCTATTAAAAATACTTCCATGACTCCTTATACATAGCATATTTCATGGAACCTGTGTACCAAAGTATGTATACCAGTTTGGACTCAGCTGCAGTATAAATGATTTTATTTTTAACCATACCTTTGTAAGTCCTGTGTATTAAACATACTTATTTAAAATAGCTTAGTAGAAAAAGATGACTTAAACATTTTTAGTTTATTAGTGAGGTTTGAACATTTTTCACATGTTTATAGACTATTTGAATTTCTTCTCTTGAGAACTGCCTATTAAATCCTTACCCATTTTTATACTGGGGGCATCATTCATTCTCTTGCTATTATACTTTGAAATAAGAGTATTTTACTTTGGGCCAGGATGGATTGACAAGGACCTAATTTATACTCCCATAAGAAACAACTAATAAACTGGAGAAAATACACGAAACAGTGGTTCTCAGACATTCAGCATCAGGCAGCACAAGACAGCAATCGCTGAGTGGGATAATAAATGAGGTGAGCCTGCAAGAGCCCCACTTACTACCTGGGCTGAATTTCCAGGCCACAGCACAGGGACAGGTTATCTCAGTGGAGCCTGGCAGTCTTCATGAGTTAAGAAGATGCATTTGGGGTCTGGGAAGGCAGAGGAGGCTGGAGTTTACAGGGCTAAGTACCAGAGAGAAGAGAGCTGCACAGAGTGCTCTGGACATCCAAAACAGGGCCCGCTTCACTCTTCAGCTGAATACAAGTTAACAGGTTTTTGTGAGTAAACTTCCCAAGGTGGAGAAAGAACTACCCAAATGGAGCAGAGGGATCAATTCCTAGAGCTCACACAGAGGCAGGAATAGTCTTCCCACCAACCTGGGTAGAAAAACCTTGTAATTCAAAGGGAGTATTGGGTACTCTGGAGAGTACTGCCTCATTAGTGGAACAGAATTAGGCTAAAAGCCTAACAAAGCTTAAAAGCAAGCCTGAAAGGATCCAACTTGTATTAAAGTACTTAATTGCATTGTATAACAAAGCTCAAGAATAACAAAACTAGCACCAAACAGTGTTAAATTAAAAATGTCTGACATTCAGTTAAAAATCAATAGATGTGTTGGAAAAGATGCCTTGAACAAGATTAGTGAAATTGAAAATGTGGCAATAGAAATTATTCTTAATGAAACAGAAAAAAAAAGAACAACTGAACAAGAATGAGCAGACTGTCCGAGATCTGGGACAACTTTAGGTGCATAATATACATGTAACTAGAGTCCCCAAAAGAGTGGAGAAACAGAGGAACAGGAAAAATATTTGAAAAATAGTGGTTGAAAAATTACTCAATTTGATAAAATTACTAATCCATAGATCCTAATGTTCAACAAATTTCCGGTGCAAGACACATGAAGAGAAAAGTATACCCAAACACATTATTTCTTAAAATCAATGGTAAACGGCCTAAAAGGAGCCAGAGAAAACATACACGGCATAAAGAAAAACAAATAGTAGACAGTGCGGTCACATCTTCTAAAGATGTACTTGTAGGGGGAAAAAAATCCTATCAACCTAGAATTCTACATTCAGTGAAACTATCTTTCAGAACAAAGGTGAATTAAAGGCTTTCTCATACATATGAAAGCTGGAAGAACGTATTACTATAGCAGTTTAGCATTAAAGGAAATGTTGAAGTCCTTTAGTAAAAAGGAAAATGATTTCAGGTGGAAATCTGCATCTAACAAAGGAATGAAGAGCACTAAAAATGTTAAATATGCAAGCAAATATAATAGACTTGTTTTTATTATTATTAATCTCCATAAAAGATAATTGTTCAAAGCAAGAGTAACAACAGTATTGTTTGGTTTGTAACCTACGTAAATAAAAAATGCAATGAAAATAACATGGCATAAAAGCTGGGAGGTGTTCTTAGGCTGTACACAAAGTGGTGTAAGTTAAAGAGGTAAGCCGTAAACTGTAAACCACTTTACAACAAGAAAAAAATGTGTAAGACGCTGCTAAAGGGAAATTTAAGTAAACATGCCTAGAGGGAAATTTACAAAAATTTAAAGCCTGTATTGAAAAATAAGAGATAGCTCAAATTAATCTCAACTTCCTCATTAAGAAACTAGAAAAAGAAAAGCAAATTAAAGCAAGTAAGCAGAAGAAAGGAAATAAAGATAAAAGAAGAAATGAATAGAAAAAAACAGTGGAGAAAAATCTTTGAAATCAAAAGATTGCGATTTAAAAAAATGTTAGTAAACTTCTAATCAGACAAGTCAGGAAAAAAGGAGACTACTCAAATTACCAATATAAGGAATGTGAGAGGTGACATAACTGTACATGCTAATATAGTAAAAGGATAATGGAATATTATGAACAACTTTATGCCAATAAATTCACCAACTTAGATAAAGTAGACTTATTCCTTGAAAGACACAAACTACCAAATCTCACTCAAGAAGACTAGATTACCCCATTAGCCCTATATCAAGTAAAGAAATTTAGTTAAATCTTCCCATAAGGAAAACTACATATCCAGATGATTTTACTAATGAATTCTACCAAACATTTAAGGAAGATATAATACTAATTCTATGTACAGTCTTCCAAACAAATTGAGGAGGTGGGACTATTTCCCAATTCATTAATCTCAACAATGAGACAGACATTGTAAGAAAAGAAAACTGTCCTCATGAACATATAAAAAAATACATCATGACCAAGTAAGATTTAACCTAGAGATGCCAAGATGGTTTAATATTTGGAAAACAATCTGTGCAATTTACCATATGAACAGACTAAGACAACATATGGTCATCTCAGTAGATGCAGAAAAAGCATTTGACAATATCCAGCATTTGAGCAAACTGGTGAAAAAAAGACTTTCTTTACCCTGATAAATTTATCGGTAAAAAACCAACAGCTACCTTCATAATGGCAATTACATGGGAAAGAAAAGTTTGACATCTGCATTTATATTGCCATTTTACCCTGAGATTCTCCTAAATGATACTGTAATGGATAAGGTGGTACTTCTTAATGGATTGTCTTATTTACTTTTATAGGAGTTAGGGCATGGGATTTTAAATAAACCAAAAATTAGCATTAGTGAATCATTATGGCTACTCTCACTTAAAGTTTTATTTTTATTTTGGTGGATTATAGTTAGTAAACACAGTTTCATTAAAGATGGTTGGTAAATATTATAAAATATATTTGCCTTTATATCCAATATTATTGTTGTGCCTTTACTTTTTCATTTTTAATCTTTTCATGATTTCTTATCTTTATGCTTGTTACAGTTCCACCCACAAAAATAAGTCCTTATTATTTTGGGTACATTATTTATATGTCCACTGAATTTAATGATGTCTAATTTCTACTTTTTTTTTCTTTGTTTAGGAAAACATAGAACCTCTTCAGGTATCATTTGCTGTTCCGAGTCCTCTTAGTAAGTCTTCAGTATCGGAGACTCTTTCAGGTACTCGCTTTTGTTTATCTTATAATCATAAATGTCATTTGCAATATGTGTGTATACAAAACAATCTCCTATTTTCTTTTTAAACTTTTATTTTTATTATAACAATGCTTACTTGGTTTTAAAAACCAAATAGTATAGAAAAGCTTGTAAGAAGTCTCTGTCCATCCATTTTCCTTCCAAGTCTCACACTTTATAATTACACACATTTAACTTATATGGAAGCTCCTTTGCACAGTTTGCACAAATGAAATGATACCGGTCATAAGGGTCATTCTTAAATATCCAAAATTGTTCATCCGCATTTACATGACATCCTAGGTACATGTACTTTCCAAGATCTCTGGGTTTTTTTCGATAATGATAAAGGCAACAAAGATCTCAGCCCTTTCCTGACAAACTGGCTTGCAAATGTCATGGGGAAAACACAGGATGGGAACCATTATTCATGTCTCTCTCCTTGTCAAACTCCTTTAATGGCTTTTCATTGGCCGTGGGACACAAACCAAGCTTATTAGCACAGAATCCGAGACATTCAGTATTTAGTTAAAGCTAAAATTTGAAGTATAGTCTGTCACGTTCTGAGGCCTATACTCTTTTAACACATTATACTGCTTTTCATTTATAGCATTAAAAGTGATGAAACTAAAATTTTCCTGAGCTTTGTAAAATAAAGTTTTTCAGGATCATTTTAATGCTCTTTACTGCGATTTCATCGTACAAAATGTAGCTTGGTATAAATAGACATGAGTGAAAATATGGGTATTTATTGTAATATAATTTAATCTGTTAGCAAGGTAATATGTTCTAGTTTCCGTGAAAAGTGGCAAAAGTTTCTGGGTTATTCAAGTAAACTTAAAGTTTTGAAAAATTTGTATGAATCTCAAAATGTATTTGTCTTGGTATTCTGTTAAGATATGATACTAAAGCAAAGGTGAGTATCCCAAAGAGTATGCAGTGGATCTGTAACTTCTGTTAGTTACCCTAATCTTGCTTGTATCTGGCTCATCAGGCACAGATACCTACAGCTCTTCAAATAACCAGGAGAAAATATCCTCCTGTAAGAGAGGTAGAAGAACACGGACCTCCAACAGAAGAACTGTAAGTGTTTGTACTTGGTACAACGTATTTTTAAATCTTGCAATAGATTTTTTTTTTTCCTTTTTTCATGACCAAATGATTATGGGTAAAATCTTGGCTTGATTAGTGTCATTAAATGTTAATACTGTATCTTCCCTGGTACGTAACCCAGGGTAGTAATGTTTTCCTGATTTTGTTTTAATTCTGTGAGAAGAAAAATCCAATGAAATAAGGTGCTTTCAGAGTTTATGTTAATGTGGAAGGTACTCTGTTTGAAAGCTTTTTGGGATCTGTGGAGTTTTATGAATTTTATTGAGGTACAAAGTGAAGAAGAGTAGAATATAATTAGCAGAGCCAGAAAATGACACAAATGTAATCTTTTTTAAAATCATACTTTGTTTCGTGTGGTTTTTTAACACAAGGTTTTAGCTATTTTCAGTATGAGCGTAGTTTTCACTGAATTCATGTCCTTTGCTATTTTATTAAATTAGATAAAATTGGATTTTTGTCTGTGCATCATATTGTATAAACATATAGTATACTGTTACAGGATTTTAGGCTGATATTATTGGATAATAAACCCAGAATTCAAACTTATATAATCTAATAGTTCATGATTTTTTTCCCATAGCCTAAAGGCAGTAATGCTCAATAAATATTGCGAAGAATGAATAAATCAACTAATTCTTAAGTTTGATCTTTTATCCTTAAAATATTTGGTCAGAGTGCATATATTTCTGGGTCTGTTTGATAGATCAAAAATTTGTAATCACTGTTTCTCCCATTTGAGGTGCTAGGTTGGTTAAAATAATTCTAATGGTGTTTGAATTAAATGGAAATGGGATATAAAAATGGTAGAAGCAGCATGGAAAGAAAATAAGCGAGAGGACACAGATTAAAATAGAACTACTTGTGTTTTATGTTATTCCTATTTTAAATTTTCTTTATAGCAATTGAGTAGTTTTTCAGAAGAGAGCGTTTGCAGTTTATTGAATACAGAAGCTCAGCCTTGTAAAGAAAACAAAAGTAAGAGGAGGAAATGTCAAGAAAGCAAGCACACCGACAGAACACTTCCTAAAAAGAGTCGGGTGAGTGCGTTTAAAGATACAATGAAGAGTAGAAGTGCATTTCTTTGTTGTATGGTTAAGAGAACATGCAAACAAAATTTTTCTAGTTGAGGGCCATTTTCGCATCTTCTTCGTTGTGTTCCGTGGATCCAGAACAGTAAATTATCCACACTCCAATGCTAAATTGATTCTTATCTCTGAATCTAATCTAACTTCACCCTATTTGGGGACTCCTCAGATTTCCTAGTCGGGGATGAGTGTACCATCTGCCACTCGTTTGACCTTGGTTCTGCCAGTGGCTTGATCACTTCCTCATGCTTGAAGAAGAACTTAGAAACTAAGCTCTTGGTCTTCTTCAACGCGTCAAGGCCTGTCCTGGCTCAGATGACTTCACCGTCTCTTAATGAATAGCCGATCTAGCCCTTTAACCCAGTTCCTAGTCCCCCTCCCTTCGATGATCTGGACCTTCCTTTGCCGCACCCCGAGCTTGTTAATAGCTAAGCCCTTCTCTCTTTTAAGAATGTGCATTTATATGTCTCGTTCTCTGACCTGACCTCCTGTCCACCCAATGCTCTCACTTCCTTCCTCATGCCTCTGCCAGTTCTAATAATCTGACTCTCTTTTTACCCTCCAGCTTTTAGATATCCCTTAATTCCCAGTTACCTTTCTCATCCTAAACCCCAGTGAGCTGTTATCAACCACTCTTGTCAGTAATCTCAATTCTTCCTTCCTTTCATTCCACTTCAACTCTGAATGAATCTAACCACGATCCTCTCCCCATCTAACATCACTGCTGAGGGACTCCAACAGGTGTTTCTACAAATCCGTTGTTCCACATATTATCTGTCGTGCTGTCTCATTCTCTACCACTCCGCCACTTCACTTTAATTATTTTGCAAGTTATTTAGTAACTTAGTGACCAGAATCCAGTGCGTCCTTTGAGGTCTTGTTCTTACTCAACATCTCAGCAACACTTGACGTTATCAAAGACATTCTTTTACAGTCTCCATTAAAGTTTTATTCTTTTCCATCCATCCTTAGATGTTTGTGTTACCCAGCGTTCTATTCTTTGCCCTTTCAAACTCTGTATTTTCTGGATGGTTTTATACGTGGCATGCTTGATGACTCCTGAATCTCTCTGATCTATAAACGTATGTTCACCTGCCTGCTAGACATCTCTTCTCAAACCATCCTGTATACACCTAAAAATGTCCACATTTCCAAAACTAAACTTCAATTTCACCCCAACATACACCACCCAAAATGGTTAGTAAACTTCTTTTCTGCTCTATAAAACAAAAACTGTTTCCTCACTTGGTTTAAACATGGCACAAACACCCCCAAGTCAGCAAAGTAAGAAGAAACTGGGTGTTTTTCTGATTCAGTCCCCTTTTTTGGGTCACATACTCCTTTGAAAGAGCCCTTTGCTGTAAAACTATATATACGTTAAGTTTAAAAATATGCATACATTTTATTTTATTGCATTAGAAATTGGTTCCCCTCATTTCTATATCTACTACTTCATATAAAATCAATTACCGGAAAGTTCAAAAAGGGTCTTCGAGTATTAAGTTTTGCTCCAACCCCTCCAAGGACCCCCACTGAATCAAAATAATTAATAAAATAGGGGGAATAGACTTAGAATAACAATAAAAAGAGGAAGTAAATGAGTAGGGGTATTAAGCAACAGATGATAGGCTTCAGTGAATTTCTAGAAGACAAAGCAGATGGGAGCACGTCAACAGATAAAAGAGGTGGAAAGATTTGCAGCTCAGAATGTGCTAGGAGGGAGCAAGAGAGGCGCCGGGAGCCCGCCCGGCCCTCGGGACCCCAGGAGACTCCAGGCCCAGTGTTGGCAGACACAGTATATGGTGAGAGTGAGAGGTGCTAGTGAAAAATAGATTAATTGAAGCCCTATATAAGAAACAATTTCCACCCGTCGGCACTCCACCCACCTCTCCCAGCTTGAAGCCCAGAACAGATGTTGTCATCTAGGTTAAAACCTTTATTGTGATATTTGGGAAGTCCCCCAATTTTAACAACTCTTGCTCTAAAGCAAGGCCTGCAATTGACACGCCCCATTCTCCCTCTGTGTCCCACACAGAGTCCCTAGTAGAAATGACTATGCAAGAAAGAGACAACGGGAAAGCAGAGGAAACCCATACCAATTTCCATTCTTTTCTTAAGAATCAGACAACTGAGTAGAACCAACTGCAAGACAGGCCAATATTAAAAGGTTGAAAAACTGACCCCAGGGAGAAATGTTTTTCAGGTAATGAAACTTTATAAAAAAGTAAATATTTGGATGTAGTCATATTTAAGAAAGTATCATCTGTGACAAACTAAAAAGAGGATGCTAGGAAAAAGGAGCAGCGAAAAAGTATTTGCGAAAGAAACATTAGTAGTCAGACTAGAGAATGAAATTAAGGCGAGTCTCCCAGAAGGCAGAGCAAAATAGAGACAAACTAGTAAAAAGAGACATGGGAGACCAATCTATGAGACTTCATAGGGATCTCAGAAAAGGAAAACAGAGTGGAAGAAATTGTCAAAAGATTTTTCAGAACTGAAGAAAGGAGTCTTCAGGTTTAAAGGGCCTCCCGAATGCTTAAAACAATGAAAAACCGCCAGGGACTTGGACATGTCCTTGTGAAATTAAGCAGTAAGGATAAGGAGAAAAGTTTACCTACCAGGAAATAGAGTGGTACCAAGTTTAAGAAAAGTCTGATGCTGAAGGAATACTCAACAGGACATTTAAAGCTGTGGGAAAAAAAATATATGTATCAGCCCAACACTCTAGATCTAGCCAAATTTAATTAAGTGTAAAATACAAAGTAAACACATTCAGACATTTCCGGGACTCTGAAAGTTTTTCTTTGGATATTACTGGAGGAGGTACTCAAGCAAAATCAGGAAGTAAGCTTGAGAATTCAAGACATCGTAGCTATAATAATATAAGAGAGCAATGCAAGAGAAATCTCTGATGATAGCTGTTCAGCCAGCCTAGATCAGCCAGTCCAAATTTGAGCAAGGAAAGGATGTTCCAGGGAGAAAGTCTCTGATGGGAATGTTTTTGGAGATGGAGCCTTTAAAGTGGTGTTTAAGCTAAAATGAGGCCCTTAGAATGGTCCCTAATCCAGCTTGACTGGTATCCTTTTGAGAAATTTGGACACAAAAGGAGACACCAGGGTACACACTCAGGGAGAAGACCTTGGGAAGGGGCAGCAGGAGGGCAGCCATCTGTATACCAGGGAGAGGCCTCAGAGGACACCAACCCTTCCAAGACCTTCGTCTTAGACTTCTAGCTTCCAGAATTGTGAGAACATAATATTGGTTAAGCCCACAGTCTGTGTTGTTTCGTTACAGCAGCTAATCTGACAAACTAATACACTACCTTTTTTATCTGAGAAAATAGGGAACATTTTAAAATAATAATAAATACATGTGTACACAAACAAAAAACCTTTTTAATTAAAAAAAAAAGTGGAAGAATAAGGCAAAAACAAAAACTGGTTACCTACAGGGAGAAGCAACAGGAGGGAAGAGGAAGGAATGAAAGCTATATTTACTCGATTTTTTTTTTCCTTTCGACATTGATCTGTGTAAATGTTTCACGTGACTCTAAAACAAATGAAATTTGGGTAAAAGAACAATCTCTAGAAATTGAAAACAAAATGAAACAAGTTATCTTAACTGTATATCAAGTTGGTGGCTTAACCTCACAAAGTTTTCTCATACTTAGAAATTTGAAAAATCCCAGTGGGATATATCCTAAGGACAGAAATAAGTGTAAAGATATCTTAAACGATACGAAGTACTCAGACGATGGAAGAATTCATCTAGAATCAAGAAAATAAGCAGTTTTTTTAACTGTCATTAGGAATCCAGACTTCTCACTGTGAGACAGAAAACAATTTCAAATCAAATTAAAAACCTTGCTAGACAAAATTCGAATGGGAAATATAAGTATGAAATTATGTTTTTTCACTTAAAATAATTTTCTAGCTCTTTTGATAAGGCTAAGAAGCAGTGAACATCCCTGGTACCTAGATGTACCTAGATTTACTGTCTCTAAATACCATTTTCTACTAAAAACTATCAGAGTTCCTTAGTGAAATGGCCACTTTCAGATTTACAGCAGTAGATGTAGGAGATGAGCCTAGGTCTGTCCCAGTGTGCAAGCCAGAAAGCTTACGAGACTGCTGAGTTCCCGTTAGAGGACAAGACCATCTAGAAGGGGCTACCACGGACCCAAAGTGGGACAGTGTGACCGTCAGCAATAATGATTGCAATAGATTGAAACACAAACATCAATTATGAAAAAACACTTAAGTTCAAAATAATAACAAAACCTAAAGGCCACCTTAGAAGCTGTCGAGGACATCAACTCATTTTTCCAAAAACTAGAAAATAAAGTTTGAACTCTATTTTAAGTAAATAACTGATGAAGAATTTCCACTAATAAGTAAAAATGACATGTTCACGAAAGCTTTTGAATGTTAGGTAGAAGGCTGATGGGGGCGTGTGATGGATGGATCGGACGGAACACCTGAGCCCAGTGCATTCACAATGCCACAGAAGGAGAGTGGGTCTTCTGATGCCATCAGGAAATGTACAACCAACCATGAAAGGCTCTTTCCAAAAAATAATTAAAACTGAATCCTAATGAAGCCTAGATCTAATGACCAGTTATAAGAAGTACAGGGGATGGAGGAAGATAAAGTGATTGCAGTGAGCCAAACCTGGAGTTTGGCTAATTCTATGGGATAGATGACTCAGTTTATTCACCAAATAAACAGCAAGGGATAAAAACAAAGGAACCATAGATTAAAAGATCTACCAACCACATGGCATGTGTGGAGACCTTATTGGGATCCTGATTTGAAAAGTTGTAAAAAGGTGTTTATGGACCAGTTGGAAAACTTTGAACTCACTGTCGTTATGGTTTTTTGGGTTTAAATGTTTTATTTCGAGATAATTTTAGAAATGCTTGCTGTTGTAAGAAGAGATAGATCCAAATATCTTGTACCTAGCTTTTCCCAATGGTGACATCTTGCAGAACTGTTGTACAATATCACAATAATACAGTATCAAAATACAGTCAAGATATAGGACATTCGTTGCCACAAAGATGTCTGTCTCCTGTTTCCCTTTTGTAGCTTCATTCACTTCCCATTTCTACCCCAGTTTAACCTCTGACAATCAGTAATCCGTTACCTGTTTCTCTATTTTTGTCATTTTAAGAATGTTACATAAATGAAATCACATACTCTGTAGCGTTTTGGGACTAGCTTTTTTCATTCAGAGTAATTCGCGGATTTGGCCAAGTTTTTGTGTGTATCGGTAGTTCTTTTTATTGCTGAGTAGTATTAGTTGTTATAAAAAGAAAAAGAGGTAATCATTTTGCAATATATACATATATCCAATACATACATTTTATACCTTAAACTTATGTGATGTCATGTCATTTATATTTCAATAAAGCTGGAAAAAATAAAACTCCATTATAAAAGAAGAAAAAAATCAACAATGAATACGTCAGGTAATAAAAATATTTCATTTTGTTGCAGGAAAAAAAGGAGCCCTTACCTCTTAGAGGTGCTGTAGGAGTTTTCAGATGAAATTATGTAATATCTGGGATTTGCTTTAAAATAATCTGGGGAGGTTATAAACTAATCTTGATTTTTAAATGTTAGTAATTATTGAAGCCAGTTGATGGGTACATGGGTTCAATATACCATTCTCTCTATTTTTTGTGGATTCGACATTTTCCATTATAAAAAGTTAAAAATATAGCAGCAATATGAGCCCCTTATTTATAGAGATCTAGAAGTGGAACCAATAAATAAGTAAATAGCAGGAGTAGGGAAATGTATGCTTGTCGTTAACTTTCCTGTACAATTTGATTTGTTCCTATGTACATGAATTATTTTTAAATCACTTTAAAGAATTATTTTTAAATCACTTTAAAGCTACTTACTTAAGAAAGCTACTTAAGAAAAGAATTTAAATATGTATTAATTGCAAATACAAGATAAGCATTTACTTCTGGTGCATGACCTTCACTGTATGAAAAGAAATATTGGTGATTCTGGAGTAAATGGAATCCCTTACAGGGTAATACTTTTAGTTGTCTTTTGTCTGCTCCTAGACATAAACCAATTTCTAGATCACATGACTTCCCTAGGGTTCCAATCACAGGTGGCTTCTTTTGTTTATTACAGTTACAAGCAAGGCTTTGGTATTGGAGTAAATTCATATTTTGTTAAGGTTCTAGCCTTTGCAAATACAACCTCATGGCTGATATAAGCACCGCTCGATGAATTTTCATGGCAGACCACAGGTGCTTTAATCTTTAATCTTTTCTTTTTAGATGGTATACTTCTATGGCCCATGACCATGAAAAAACAAAATATTAGCGTTTTATCATGTTTAGCAAGTTTTATGGTTTAATTAATTGTACTTCTTTTTCTTTTACATGCATTCATTCATTTCTTCATGTTTATTTAGAAGCCACTATGCACCACACACTGCTGCAGGTGCTGGAGACATATTATATAAACAAAGATTTTCAAATTCCTGCTAAAAGGGAATTTTTCCTAGAGTTTATGACCTGATGACACTGACCATAGTTTATTAACGGACCATGTAAGGTCTACATCACACAGTAACACTAAGAGCATAGTTTGGTATTTAAAATACTTTCTTCCGTATTAGTTCTCAAAGTAGTAGGAAGGAATTTAAAAGAACAAGAATAGCCTACGTATAGCTCTTACTATGAGTCAAGCCCTATTTTAACTGCTTCACATATGTTAACTTATTTAATACTCAGCACAGCTCTTGCGATTCCATTTTGCAGATGAGAATGAGATCCAGAGAAGTGAGGTGACTTGCTTAAGGTTATAAAGTAGTTAAGTGGCAGAGTCAGGATTTGAACCAAAGGCTTCTGGAGGCCAGATGTTGTTCTTTTGTAACTTATCTGTGGAGCCCGAGTTAAAATTTTCTCTTGGCAAAGATAAAACACTGCTATTTGTGACAACATGGATGGATTTTGAGACTGTCATGCTAAGCAAAATAAATCATGTGGAAGAAGTGGAGAACCATATGATTTTACTCATATGGGATATAAAACTTGAAAGCAACAAACAAATAAGACAAACAAACAACTCAGACACAATAGTTACCAGAGAGAAAGCGGGGAGGGGAAAAGTAGATAAAGGTCAAGGGGGGTCATATGGTGATGGAAGGGGATTTGACTTTGGGTGGTGAACATACAATGCAATGTACAGATGATGTATTATAGAATTGTATACTTGAAACATTTTATTAACCATCACCCTCAATAAATTTAATTTTTTAAAAAAAGATTTTCTCTCGGCTTCCACACTCACTGACCAAGCTATCATTTCCCCTACTGTTCCATGGAAGTCCAGAAATTCTATGGAAAAAAATGTTTCGTGGAAAAATAAGTAACCCAGCATTTTCCTAATGTATGTGGAGATTATACTGAAGAATGCTCAGAGAATATATTGTTAAATGTATATTGTCAATCACTGAGAGAGGAACATTTATAGTTCTAAAATTATTTTCCATGGAATGTTCTGTTTTTATAGGATATCTATAGGTGTCTCAAGGAATATACAGCTCCCTGCCACTTCTGTAGCCTTGACTATCATCCACTTTTTCACGCCATTCATTTCTATGCTGTCACCAAATGATCTTTCTTAAGTGTAACATCAGATGTCATTTCTCCCTGAACCACCATGCAGCGAGTCCTCATTGCTCGCAGGCTCGTGCTCAGTGCGCACAAGGGTCCTGCTTGCTGTGTTAGCTTCCGCTACCTCTGTGTGGGTCCGCTGACCAGGCACTGCGGCCTCACCTAGAGCTCATGTGTGCGCCACTGTCTTTTCTTCTCAAAGCCCTTCTACACCACTTCCATAATCAGCCGGAACAGTTCTCCCTTGCTTAAGACTTAACTTAGACATGATGTTTTCTGTGGAGCCCAACTCGAATTCCTCCCATGGGCCAAGTACCCATCTCAGTCCATACGGAGTCTGTCGTGGTCATTGTACTATAATTACTTGGTGTCAGGCCATGAGCTCCTTAAAAGCCACATCTGGTACTTCCCCTCAGTTATTACCAAACCTTGGTCCCTCATCTTCTGCTTGTACTTGTCAAAATGTATCTTATTTTGACCTATTTATTTTAATTTTGATTAAATCTGTTGTTTGAGTCAGCTCATCTAGCTCTGTGTTCTCTTCAAATTTTTATGTATTATTTCTTCAACCAGATCTATGAACAAAAAAAAGGCCTCTCATAGATTCTTTTAATCCTGAGTCATCCTAACTACACCCTAGTTATGAGTATCTCATGTCTTAGTTGCTGTCCAAATCTACAGCATCTAATCTATTTTTCACTTATCCAGAGCTTATTTTGGCAAATGCTTCCTGGAAATATAGAATGGCACCCTACAATTTGTCAGTTGGGTTCTGCTTTACATTTTCTTTGACTTTGTGCAAGGTACCCAGCCCCCCACCCCTGACTCAAATTTCTAAAAACTTAAATGGAATAACTGGTGTTAAGTGTTTCTGTAGAAATTAAAGGGTCAAAATTGTACGTGGTGTTGCAGCTTTCTTAATTATATGTGGTGTTACATCTTTCTTAATTACAGCATTTTAATACATTTTCTCAGGTTTTAAAAAGCTGCAGAAAGAAGAAAGCAAAGCGGAAGAAAGGTGTTGACAAGTCTTTATACAAGGGAAGAGACTTTGCTTCTAAGAAGCCGCTCCTAAGTCCTATTGCAGAGCTGCCCGAGGTGTCTGAGATGTCGCCTTCGGTTCCAAGAGTCCAAAGGATGTATTCAGGTATTCTGTCCTGTTCCTGCCATTTACATTCTGTTTTCTCTTTACCTTCTTTGTTGCTCTTTCATTCTTTTTTTTTTTTTTCTCATTCACTGTGTAAAGAGTACATAAATCAAAAACAGCAGCTTTTCATATTACCATGAGAATGTTAAGAAAGCAAGAGCGTGTGACTTTTGCAGTCACCTCGACGCTTTTCAGAATCCAATGGCAGCTCTGGAGACTGTCCAGGGAAACTCAGACACAAGATATTGCATATAATTTTAGGGGAAATAATTTTCTTTCATCCTGTTTCATTTTGCTTTTTAAAGCATTTTGTTAAAGTAAAATCTGTTTGGTGTTATAGTCAATCGTGAAAGGTGAAGGAGGTGATGGCTCAACAATAGATGTATCTTATATGAATTAAGAACAAAAATTAAAAAAAAATACTTATGTTACAGTGGAGTTGGCATCTTCTAGAAGTGACATTTGTAAATCGAACTTGATTACTTTAAATATTTTGTTTAAAATCAAAAATTAAGTTGGTCGATATCCTGGTTAGATAAAAATTGGAGTTGCATCTGGTTTTATAGTGCCTGAGTTTTAAATTGACTAAATCATGTTGTAAATAATAAGAGTATATGTTCATTTGGTGTGTTAGTTTTATATAGAATCGTTTGAAAATAGCTGCCTTTGTAAATCAAATATTTATAGCCTACATTTCATTTGCAGTATACCATATAGGATATATAGCAAATATTCAGTACATGCCACCATAAACTCTTGGCTTCTGCCTACTTAATCGCAGGAAAGCACAAAAGTCCGGACAAGCGCACAACCACCCCACAGTCGTACACACAGCTCTCCCGGCCCCTGGGCACCAGCAGGGGCAGTGCGCTCCTGCCCAGCCTTCTCTTGTAGTCCATTTCGGGACAGAAGTTGCCCAACCCACTTCTTTTAATCTGGCCTAATGCTACTTATCCTTTAAGATTTAGCTGTACTGGCTGCCTTTTCAGGAAAACGCTTTGTTCACATTACACCTTCGTTCACATTACACCTTTACTACCTGGTCGATAGTGATCCATTCCCTGCAAACTGAAGTCCATTTGAGACTGGAAACTAAGTCTTATTTTCATTATATCATCCCCAGTTCTTTACAGGAGTTTTTCCGAAGGTGTTTAAGCAATGACTGTTAGTATGTTTTCCATCTTGCATCTTACTAGAGAATTTCTTTCTCGAAATACCCGAAGCGTTTTTTAGCCATAACCAATGGTATCAGGGTGTGAAGCAGTTCCCGCTCTCCCGCTCTCTCGCCCTCCCTTCCTCACTGCTTTCCAGTCTTCTGCGCTCTGTCTTTCTCTGCCTCCATCCCTTTCTCCTGCCTTCCTTCTCTAGCATGCTAATTTTATGAACAATACATAAATGTCCCTTTTCATGTAAAGTTGTATAAAGAACCCAGCTGGCATGAGTTGGTTTGCACAGAGAGGACCCTGCCCTGTGTTAACCTCTAGCTTTACATGACGTGATTTTAAATACCCAAATCATGGCTATATACCTTTCAAATTGAAATGTTGTTTTTTTAGATTTTTGGCTTAGCTTATGTTTTATGTATCTTCCAGTGTTGATTTTGTCGAAAACATTTTTTATGCTCATTTGACTTGGTCAGGTAAAAACTTTGTTATCTGAGATAACAAGAGAGATGGCATCTATTAGCACTAAGATTTAGAACACATAAAGCCGGAATTCATTTATGCTATGTTATGTAACTTGAAAACCTTGATGATGTTTTTTTCACCTATGATTTATTTCACCTATGATGTGACATAGTGTACGAAAAACTCATGACATGCTCCACATGGTACAAATTTTCTGGAGGATGGATTTGTCAGAGATTGGGGCAGAAGGGGGGAGATTTTTAGAATACTGAAACAAATGTGGCTCTATTTGAGAGTATAGTACAGTTTATATTAATTTTTTAACAGAGGGCATAAGACGCTAATGTCTTCAGGGAGTAATCTTTTAGTGAAATTCTCAAGTCCCCCAGAATTCTAAGGTTTATTTCCTCTGCTTCAGAGGAAACATTGATAGAAAAATTTCAGAGGAAACATTGATAGAAAAAATTCATGATGTTGCCCATTTTCAGTAATTCATTTTTAAGGAAATGGGAAATGTGGCTGCCTCATGCTAATTGACCTTGTATTGTGGGAAGTACATTAGACTAGAGGAAGCAATTTAAGATACAGTTCTCACTTTTCTGGTCTGAGACTATGTGCTTTATTAATTCATGTAGTAATACATATTTTCTTAACCTGTGGGTTGGGGAAGAACTAAAAGAGAAAGAATGATGACAGATGGGAGCAAGTACAGTGTAACATTTTATAGGTCTTGTGATTTTGGAAAGTTAAAAACACGGAAACCAATGTGGCACCTGTTATGATTTGTTAAAGTTTATTTTCATTGTTACTTTTTAATTAGATCAAACTTATTTATACCCATAGATGAATTCAGTTCAAGTGGTGAACTTGAAGAAGTGAAGCTGCCTGAGAGAAAGACTCTTTTGCCTCAGAACTCAGAAGACTTGCAGATGAATCAAGACTCTAATAAATACGATGTGTCTGAATTCTGCAGCTCTTATATAAAAAGTTCCTTTCCGCTTGTTAATGCTGCTTTTGATTCAAACATAAGTACTATAGAAATTCATGAAAATAAAAATATTCCAAAAGCAGAAAGTCAGTTGGAAAGTGAAAATGGACTAAAAACCGGGACCAGGAATGAAAACAGTCCTATTTCTTATGCTTCTTTGATTAAAAAACCCATTGTAGCAGAGAATCCAAAATCTAATTTTATTCTACAGTCCCAAGAATTTCCTGCTGGTTGTCCAAATGGGGTAAACGTTTTCCAAAGCTTTAAAATTTCGGAAGATATAAAGTGTGAAAAACAGGATGACTTCTTAGTAGCCACTGAAGGAAACCTGCTGACCAAGTCTTTAATGTCTGACTCTCAAAAAGAGGATGATGATTCAGAAGATGTCTTAATCGCTGGTCTAGAAGGAAATAAAAGTCAGAGCGAGGGTTTGGGAAGAAACTCCACGGAAAGTAGCAGTGGCCTAAGCTGTGAAAGGAAACACAGAAGATGCTCTATGTGTTATTCAGGTGGTCAGAGTTTCCATTTGGAAAACAGTGGAAATCACAAACCTTCCTGCGGGGTGGACAGCTCTGTAGAACTTAGTTTAGAAAAGTCTGAACTGTGTAAAGAGTTATCTAATGCCATAGAGCAAACCTTTCAGAGAACAAATAGTGAAACAAAAGTCAGACGTAGCTCAAGGCTACAAAAAGATTTGGAAAATGAAGGACTTGTATGGATTTCACTTCCGTTTCCTTCCAATTCCTACGCTTCCCAAAGTACCAAAAGGAGAACAGTATGGACATTTGACAGCACAGGATTTGAAAGTATGTCCCCCAGAAAAAAAATTGTGTCTTCCAGACCAAAATCGGGTGTACAGCCCTCCATATCAGGTCAAGAAAACAGTGAGAAATTTGCCACCGATTCTTTGCGTTTACCTGGGAGAAGGAGGAAGAGCTTTTGTACATCTGCACTTACAAACACTGAAAATACTAAGTCAAAACGCGACAGAAGAACCTCTCTCAACCAGAAGAGAGAGAGTTCCCTAAAATGACGACGGGAGAATTAAACATATCAGAGAACTACAGCCATAACTGACGTTTCCTGCAGAACTTTGGCAAGAGAGAAGATAACCATGCATGCTTAAAAGATTCTTTCCTTCTGGTTCCCATTCTTTATTCAACTTCAGTGTTTTAAACGTTTCCAATAAAATCATCGAATCTACTTTTAAGGAGAAATAAGTGAATTTCATTCGAAAAGAAAACATTCTATTAAACAAGACCTCCCCTCATGTTAAGTGTTTTATTAGTATTCTGCTAAAAAAGTATTGTTTTTGGACCCAAAAATATGTCTCTTATTTCATGTTAGTACATATTTAGTACATTGTAAAAGAGCATCTTTTAGAATTGACTCATCGTATCTGGACAGAGGAGGTTTTTTTTAACAACAACAACAAAAAAAATGATAGGATTAATGTAACTGAAAATTGAACGTTACTATACGGTTGAAAGCTGTTAAAAAAGTGAGATGAGTTGTGTTTTTATTTTAAAATCTTGCCAAAAACGGGTTAAAAGTTTTAACAGGAAAGATGGAAATTATAAAACCTGTTTTCCCTTTGGTTTACAGCTAGGAGAAGCTTAAATGACTTTATCTGTCTCCAATGAAATTTTTATTTTAATACTTACAGAACAGCATTTTGGGGGAAAAGTCTGTCATTATAAAATAAAAATATAATTTATAAATAACTAATGCGAAAGCATTTTGTCCTTGAAACAAAATTCTTACATGATTTGTGGGGTGGGAGATGGGGGATCGGTTTTTGATGAAATATAGCGGTTTAGTCGAAGACTTATTTCTCAGGTTATTCACATTAGTTAGAGGTAATTTCACATTTAAATTCATATTTTCCGTAATTTTTTTTTTAAATTTAGAAACGCATCGGAAGCAGCCCTGGAGAATGAGTTTAACTTGAAGTGTGGTGGTAGGCCACTGATTTCTTTTTTAAAGTGGCATTTTCCAGCCTTTCTAACTTAATTTACAATACCAAATACTGTCACTTGTCTCAGATTTTCTAGTTAAGCCTCAGCCAGATAGTTATAGATCCTATCTCCATTTCGGTGATAGCAGTTTGAAAATCTTAATTATTATGTATCTGGAATTTGTGAATGTGAGTAAATCATCGTATCATTAAACAATTGTCTTTGGAATCCTTTAAATCATTAAACTCCCCCACTCCCTGATAGCAGAAACATGTTAACAAATAGAGTTCTCTATAAATAACACAACAGGGAAGAAAGCCCCTGCTGAGCACCCATTTCCCCTCCTCAGATACAGACTATTTGTTACCTTCTTGGCACCAATAGGTCTGGAACTCCTGCTGCTAAAAGACTAATGTATTTTACATTAACACTCGAAGTGATCCCCAATTTCTTCTGCTAAAGAGTTGATTGTTTAAAAATTTCTTTTATCTTCACACGTGAATTATTTATGGACTTTTTTCTCCCCCGTTTATAGTTTAGTGTGGCTGGCAAATCTATACCACTGGAAACAAACCAAAAGAAAAAAGAACTAATTAACTTCTTATGAAGCTTTTGTTTTAAAGCGTTTATAAATATATAAGATGATAGAGGGCTTTATTTTTTGTTAAATTTTTTATATTTCTCCTTTGTTTAACATGAAGACTGAAAAAACTTATTTTCTCCCCTTTTAATTGTATGATGATCTATAATCTCAATTGTATTTGAATTTTTAAAATATCACATGCTTTGTTTTATTTCTCAAGAGGTACTAAAGAATGAGGGAAACAAACATTTTGGTCTTTTTTGGGGCTTGATTTTTCAAATGTGCAATTGTTCTCATTTTCCGCCATGGACAGTTAAAAATATAAACAAGTTGTGTTGCTTTCAGAATGTTTTAGTGAGAATATTTTGTTGATATTTGTAAATAACAAATAGACATTTTTTCCTAAAGAGATCAGATCTCAGAGATCAAAGCAACTTAGACACAGTTTTATCCTTTTAAGTCTTATTTGCAGTGTAAAATTTGTGAAAAGTTAAAGATTTCTGTGTTTGACCTGCTCACTTGTTTTTAACATTTTCTTTTCACTAGTGGTTAAATTAAAGACTAGTCTTTAAAGTAGTTTTTTTTCCCAGCCTTATCTTTTTTACGGCTGTAACCTTTGACATTTTGCGTTCGAACTTCTTCTCTTTTCCTGCTCCTGTAAATTCTCATTTGTTCCAGAAGATGGCAGCATGACATCTGAAGTTTTTCCCTCCTGTACACATTCCCCTGAAGCCAGGGCAGCTCTCGTCGCTGCGGATATTTCCCTCTCACCTTTATTGTTACTCATTTTCATTAAAGAAGTAACATGTGGCTCTTGAAAAAAAGTAGAGAACTGTACAAAATTAACAATTCTTCTCCCACCCCATGAAAGCATCCTACAGCCACACCTTCCTCTCCCCAGTTTTCTTAAATGTAAACACTTAGCAACTGGTGTACATCTTCCAGACCTTTGCCTGTATCAACATGAATATAGCTTTTGTTGTCTTCTGATGGGAGCACTATGTATGTCTTTCTGCAACTTGAGTTTTTTAATCAACAAAATACTATGAATGTCCTTCAGCCTTAATAGGGAGGGAGAGCTTTAGTGCTCTTCAGTCTTTTTAACCCTTTATAATTCATAGAACTATATGAATTTGGTATGTAGTCAGTCATCTCCTTACTAATGGATGCTAATTTCTCTCTCTCTCTCTCTCTCTCTCTCTCTCTCTCTCTTTTTTTTTATTATCAGAAATTAAGCCACACTGGGCTTGTGTGAAAATGTTGGATAAGTTCCTTGAAATTAAAATGGTTATTAAGTTCTCTTCTATGGAACCTACTGGCAGAGTCCCTTTATAGAGATTCTGGTATCCTAGCCTTCTGTCTCTCTTGTTCTCTTGCTACTTAATGCCATTTAATGGCTTCCATTTTCTCCTGCCTCCCCCAATGGCACTTAAGTTATAGAATTAAGAGTCATGTTTAGACCTGGCATAACAAGAAAAAATGGTGAATAATGCCTGATTCATGCTTTAGATTGAAAGAGCTTTTTTTAAGTCATGTTTATTGAGGTATAATTAACCTACAGTAAAGACCACCCTTTTTGAATTGAATTTTGGCAAATCCATGTAACTGCTACCACAGGCCAGTAATAGAACATTTTCATCACCCCAAAAGACATTGTCTCCCACCTCTTTGTAGTCAGTCCCCATTCCCCCATCTGTCCCCTCACAACCACTCACCTGATTTCTATCCTTACAGTTTGCTGTTTCCAGAATATAAATGGGATCATATAGTATGTATTCTTTTGTGTCTGCCTTTTTAAATTTAGCATAATACTTTTGAGATTTATCCGTGTCCCATTTTCTAAGTAGTGGATTTCTGTTTATTGCTAAGTAGTATTCCATTTTACGGATGTACCAGTTTACCCATTCGCCTACTGATGAATATTTGGATGTTTTCTGTTTTGGGGCTACTACAAATAAAGCCGCTATAAACAATCACATGAATCTTTTTTATAGACACATGTTTTCATTTATCTTAAATAAGTACCTAGGAGTGGAATTCCTGGGATGTACCATTGGGGTATGTTTACCTGTTTTAAGAAATTGCTAAGCTTTCCCAAGAGGCTGCGCCATTTTGCATTTCAATTGCTCCACATTTTCGCCAGCACCTAGTATTGTCAAGTCTTTTTTGTCTTCTGCAGGCTAGTATCTCATTTTAGTAATATCTCATTTCAGGCGGTCCAGTAGTATCTCATTGTGGTTCTGATGTGTATTTCCCAAGTGAGCATCTTTTCCTATGCTTATTTGCCATCCTTATGCCCTCTTTATTGAAATGTCTATTTAACTCTCTTTCCCACATTTTCTTATTGTGTCTCATTGAGTTGAAAGAGTTCTGTGTATATTTTGATACAAGCCCTTTATTGGATATATGTCTTGCAAATATTTTTTCTCAGTCTATGGCTTTTCTTTTTATTTTCTTAGCAGTATCTTTTGAAGAGCAGGTTTAAATTTTAATGTAATCTTATTTATCAATTTTGTTTTTTAATTGTTCATGCTTTTGTGTTCTATCCAAGAAATCTTTGCCTAACTCGAGAGCACAAAAGTTTTCTGTTTTCGTCAACAAGTATTATAATTTTACCTCTCAGATCAAGATCTACTTTGAGTTAATTCTTGTATATTGTGTAAGGTGATGGTGTTTTGCTTCTTAATAGAAATATCATTTGTTGAAAAGATTATGCATTTCTAGTTGAATTACAATGGCATTTTTGTTGCAATCAGTTGACTTTATATATGTATAGGACTATTTCTGGACTTTATTCTGTTCCATTGATCTATATATCTGCTCTGAAACCACCATCACACCATCTTGATTACTCTAAGAAAGCTTTTTTTTGATTTACTGTGAATCTTCATCGTAGTTTATATTTAAAGTTCTTTTTGTGAGGAAAGAAGCCAGTAGAGGCAGAAAATTGACCAACCAATTCTATCTGGAGCCTACAATTATTCCCAGGCCTGCATTACTAGTTAGGGCAAAAAGTCAGTAATAATTAAGCTATCAGAAATATGGTAAGGAAACCAAATTCCTTGGGGTACCTATACCTATACATTCAGCCAAATCTTCTTGTAAACTGCAACAGTTCATGATTTAAAATTATCACCCCGAGTCACTGTAAGATTTACTCATTGAGAAAGAATTCTTTTTAAACACTGCACAAATATTTATCAGAAGATGAAGTGAGTTGAATTAAAATAAGGTTCAAAAATAAGTTTGCTAAAAATGAAATTATCTAATACGTCATTTTTTCTCATAAATTAAGGTTTTTTATTTTATTTTGGTTTAGTATAAAAGTTGTCACTCAATTATCAAAAAGTAGCTTTAGCATTTGAGAATTACTTTTTAACCTGGGAAAATTTCCCTGCACCAGGCTGTACCAGATAGGCAGATGGTGCATTCATTAATATGTGTGCCAGGCATTAATTTCTGAATGTGATCACTGCCCTCAAGACACTCAGTTCTCTCAAAGGGGGCCGAATTACAACAGGGTCTGATTATAAAGGAATGCCTTGGACCTCTCAGACTTTGAGGTGGCACCAACTTCAGATCAGGTAATTTCGTTTTGTTTTTCTCTGGAAGAAGTGATGCTTGAACAAAGTTCACAAATAGGAATTTTAGAGGAATGGGGATCTGAAAGGCACATATTATTCCAAACATGCTTTCATTATTTCTTACTGAGACTAGGCAGTGTAACTTGGCTTCATCTCATACACGTTTTTGTCCTAAGTATTTTTCTTAACTTCCCATTATATTCTAACTTATGAATACATCTGGACGAAGCATGGATTTCAAACTAGAGTAGAGATTGTGAATTAACTGTAACAGAGCTTTAAAGAAATCTCTTAATTGCTGAAGCATTTCTATTTTTTTATACTACCAGGTTTTGTAGTATGTCTGAAGTGTTGACTCTGGGCTTGGAATCCTTGATCAAGTGAGAAGTATTGGGATGAAATTAAATTAAAACAAATAATTGCACATACAAAAAAAGAGGGGAAAGATTGGCTTAAATTTATTTTAAGATTATTTCATAGCCGTGACTTGGCTCTAGAATGGACAAATTGCTAATGTACTATGGCCTAACTATTTCAAGTTTGCCTAATCTTGTGCTGATGTGTTCATTTTTGTACATTTCTTTGATGCTTTCTGCTTTTTGTAAAATTGTGGTACAGACTACAAGTAACACGATAGCTTTAGTGAGAAGATGAGTAATTACAGCCATTCTCCTGATATGTACTTCTGTCCCACATCTTCAACCAAGATTATACTTAGCCCGTTGTGACCTTAATTTTAAGATTTATTAGAATGATTTTAGAGAATTTCAGGATATTGGGAAGCAAGAATTTTCTGGAACTGCTTCTTTGTCACATATGAAAAGGGAAAATAAATAAGCATGCACATTAAAGAAAAATACAAGTTTGCATTTTCTAGGGGTTAGGTTGAGATTTCTGAACTTTCTAGTGAAAAGCAACCTTTCGCAAGTCTTCCTTTTTCCCATTTATCCACGGCACGCACATTGTTTAAATGGTTTAATTTATATTCTCTATGAGAAAAGTTGCCTGCAGGGGTGTAGACTGCTGGAATTTTGGATTTAGATGTAAGAAAATTTAAATTATATAATTTTTTAAGTTCTAAATTCCTGGGTGTATTTGTATGTGAATTTTAAAACTCTGAAATATAAAGATAACATCTGTTTACATCTAGTAAATTTTTATTCTCATGGCTTTATTCCCCCACTTAAAATTGACTTTTTAAAAATATTTCTTCTACTTTGGTAGTGTTTTATAAGGTTAAATGTAGTAATATGCTAGTGGTGTTTATATTTTTGCCATTTAAAAGCAACCAGCATTTCCACTGCTCTGATATTCTGGGTACTTAAGGGTAAAAATGAAGTAAACGTCATTTTTTTTTCTCTATGGAGGCCCATCATATAACTGCTAAGTAGGGTCAGGTGCTTACAAAAATAGGCTTTTCCAAATGTATGGGCTAAACAGTGAAATTATTGTTTTTCTGTGTAAAATTGGTGTCAAACAGTTGAAACTTCATAGAGAAAGTGAGTAAAAGGATTTTTCGGTTCACGTCAGTTTAGTTCTGATGCCAGGCGCTTGGATGTAAAGTGTATGATTTTATGCCTAACATGTGAACACGTACAACGTGTTTGTTTTCTAATCTTTCATAACAGAGAAATAACCCAACATGACCAGTCTTTTTTTGTTTTAAGTATACGTTGGGAATGAAGATTTCAGAAGTATTCCTTAACTCAAACCTGAAAAACCTGTGTTAGTCTTGGGTGATTTCCAGTGACCCTGTGACTCCCTTCTTCCTGCCCCCTGTGTAGATTTGGAACTGGGCAGCCATTTTTGTTTTTGGAAGGGAAGGGAGACAGATATAATGAATGACTTTTATTGTGCAATATTTCAAACTCTCTTGAATGCATTCGAATGGGATGGAAACTGTTCTACCCTATGTCATGGCCAAAACAAACAAAACATATTCCCTAAACCTGGATATGTGTTTCTCTCAAACTGGCAGTAGTTAGAGCTCAG